AATTGATTTTATATGGTCCTATGAAAGCTTCAGGAATTATCTTGTTTTATGCTATTTAGAGACATCTTACAGAAAATCGGAGGTGTAGCGCATGATAGTAAGCTTATAAAGGAGTTGTGGTGAGGGTAGATCATCATTTATTAATTGTAGAGTGCTGAGTTCTTCATTGAAGACCAAAGAATGCCCATGGTTGAGTTATGCTGTGATGATTCACAAAGGCTGCTTTCATTAGGAAGCTGCACGGCCAGTCTGTTGGCCAGGTGTGTGGGAGATGAGCCAGTTTTGGAGCAATGAAAACCGGTAACATTTTGGCATCTGTTGCACTAACCTTTTCCTAGGAACTGGAATTCAACAAGCCAAAGAGCCTTCTTAAAATTGTTCTTAAGTTTGCATTAGTTGTCTTGTGTTTTTAAACGAATATAAATATATATTAAGAGTGGCTTTAATGTTCTAAACCCGCATTTGCCTTAATAATGTGTGATATTGAATAGACTAACGCTCTTCGTTTTTTCACTACTAAAAGAAATGTTTGTTTGTTTGTTTTGTATGGAAATACTTTTTGCCTGTGTGGTTTTGCCTGACTTATGTGCCTCTTTACTACTGAGTTAGAAAATATGAATAAAGATGCATTGGATATCTGAATCAGGCCTGGTGATTAAGCTAAAGCAGGCCCTTTACAAATATGTTGAACTCATGATGAAGATTTTGAGGTCACTCACAGAAACATTAAGAACATGTCTGTGTCATATTTCAATTTTAGATATAAATAAAGATATTGAATGTCCTAATGTGAACAATAAAATTATTATTGTCAAAAATATTGTAATATTGCACATTTTATGATATTTAGCTACTTTCATTTTACATTAGACCATAGGTCTCAAACTGGATTCCTGGTGGGCCACAGCCCTGCACAGTTTTGCTCCATCCCTAATCAAGCACAGCTGATCTAATCAAGGTGTTCAAGATTACTAGAGACTATAGCTGTGTCCCAAATACTTATGCACTATTCTGCGCCATTTTGTAGTATAAATAGCGTCAGTAGTGCGTTCACACTGAAAACAATAATAAGTGCACTTTAGTTACCTGGATGATGCACTCATTCAGCCGGTAAAATAAAGTGTGTAATGATGGACTCAACGACGGAGATCTAGATTGGATATGCAGCCGGCTGGAAGTGCGATATGCACATTAATATAGCAGCATTTTTTATGACACTGTTTAACAAAAGTTCATATTTTTACAGTTCTGTGACGAATGGGTTTAGGGTTGGGGTGGGAGTAGGCGTTAAAAAATAAAATTGATTGGGTAATTATTTAATTAGGTAACATAAATAATACTCGGTACAACTACTGTTTTTATCTTACTGTGACGGTTGGGGTGGGAGTAGATGTTAATAAATATCAATAAATGACAAATTTAATAAGTAATAGAAATAATTCTCGTTAACTTCCGGCTGCAAACGTGTCCGATCTAGCAACAACCACTCAACGACTGCAGTTTTGCTCACATAGCGGAAGGGGCGGAGCTATCAGGCGCACATGTTGGATAAATTTATTTACAAAATTATCCTACGAGAGTAATTAAAGCGCCTCCCGATGGTGAATGTGGTTCCTTTGGCTTAGTCCCTTTATCAGGGGTCGCTACAGCGTAATGAACCGCCAACTTTTCCAGCAAATGTTTTACACAGTGGATGCCCTTCCAGCTGCATCCCAGTACTGGGAAACACATGTCACATGCACACACATACACTTCGTCCTATTAAGTTTATTCCATTCATCTGTACCGCATGTCTTTTTGGACTGTGGGGAAAACTGGAGCACCTGAAGGAAACCCAGGCCAACACAGGGAGAACATGCAAAGTCCACACACAGGGTTTCTAAATGTTTCATCAAGTCAAATTGACTTTTTAAGACAAAAATGAATTAAATTTCAGACTTACACAAGGCTAAATGTTAAAGATGTAATAGCCAAGATAAAACCTTAAAAACACAGTAAAATTAATGTTATTGTAATGAACATATTTAACCATATTATTAAGTAATTAGAGTTAATAATTTAACATTTCTTTAAACTTTTCTTGAAATATATTGTTAGTGATTGGATGGATGTTGGCCCAATTGTGTATAGGGTTAAATAGACATACGAAAATTAAGACCCGTTTAAAATTATTTAAGACCTACACCTCAATATTTCAGTGGATTTAAGACTTTTTAAGACCAAAAAAATGTTGTTTTTTTAAATGTAAGAATTTTTAAGAACCTGAATATACCCTGCACACAGAAATGCCAACTGACCCCGTCGGAACCAGACCTTCCAGCTGTGAGGCAACAGTCACCGATATTTAAATTTTAAAGTACAATTTGTATTAAAACGATATTTGTATTTAAAAAAATACAAATAAGAGTAAATGTTTTTATAATATATTGGAAACGCAAAAGAGTTCAAGTGTCCTCACGTAAGTTACAGTTAAGAGTTAGATTAGCATTAACTTACATGAAACATGTCGACGACTCAACCAATTACAATTCAAAACAGTGATATTTGACTTTAAAATGTCCGTATTTTTCGTCACATGATATAACTATTGGTCGTTTCATATTTCCATTGCAAAACAGTTATCAGATATTTAACTTTGGCTTTGGTATTTAGCTACTTTCGTCTTACCTCATTCTTTCATCATTTACACGTTGGTTAAAAGGTTAAAACCAATGACTTAAAACACTTCTGTGAACAGGAAAGCCCCGCCTACTCGGATTTGATTGGCTGTCAGTCGTTTCATCAGATTGGATTTCTGACGCAAATCAATTTTTTTTCATAAGAAACATTCTTTTCTCTCCTCAATCTTCGTGACTTTCAGGGAGCATATGCACGCCAGAAATACTGAAAAACAATTAAATAAAAAAATAATAAGAAATGATTTTTTATTTAATACAACATGCATTATTAAAATATTAGCTAGTCAATGCAGGTAAATCGGGTTAAACATAATTAATTATCAGCTCCTTACTTCTCCAATTAATGATTGCAGTATTTAAACAATATATACATATTACAGTTCATGTTTTCTTTTCAATATGCATTATCAGCTAAATTAGGGGTAATTTGCACACACTAGAACAAACATTTTCTCCTTTATGACACATAAATTGGACATTTATATTTAGCACTTCACAATTAAGAAAATACTGAATTATAATATTTTGCTTGTATGATAAACGAGCCAGGCCGAGGGAAGGAATTGGGCCTATTATTTCAACATATTCCTATCCTCATACAGACATGACACAACCATTGGACACACACTACGACTACTGTACTAGTCCTGCTATGCTAATCCTGTTGCGCTAGTCCTGGTAGACTTCACAATTAGAAAATGCTGAATTATAATATTTTTGTTTGTAGAATAAGTGAGCCAGGGGAATAATTGGCCCTATTATTTCTATATAGGCTAGCCTATATATAAAATGTTGTAGTAATATCGGCCAAAAAAAAACTTTCTATACAAAATCTATAAATAAATAAATAAATACGCAAATAAATAAAGAAATTAGTAAATAAATTCATAAATCTGCATAAATAAATAAATCAATAAATAAATATGCAAATATTTGAATAAATGAGTAAATAAATCCATAAATTTCTGCATAAATAAAACAATAAATAATTAAATATGCAAATATAAATAAAACAATAAATATATTAAACAATAAATAAATGAATAAATAAATATGCAAATATAGGCTATAAATAAATGAATAAATAAATTTATAAATTTCTGCATATATAAATCAATAAATAAATTGCATATTTATTTGTTTTATTTATGCAGGAATGGTTTTATTTATTTATTTGTTTAAGTCTTTATTAATTAATTTATTGTTTTTACCGGTTTGCTATCTATCTATCTATCTATCTATCTATCTATCTATCTATCTATCTATCTATCTATCTATCTATCTATCTATCTATCTATCTATCTATCTATCTATCTATCTATCTATCTATCTATCTATGTTTATACACATATTGTACTGCATTTAATATAAAAGATAAGCTTGTATCGTATCATGCCTACATGAAAATATCAACTAATCTATTATAAAGTGTTTTTTAATTCATTTTCCTTTGGCTTAGTCCCTTTATCAGGGGTCGCCACATCGTAATGAACCGCCAACTTTTCCAGCAAATGTATTACACAGTGGATGCCCTTCCAGCTGCATCCCAGTACTGGGAAACACATGTCACATGCACACACATACACTACGTCCAATTTAGTTTATATATATATATATATATATATATATATATATATATATATATATATATATATATATTTATTTATTTATTTCTATCAATCAATACATAAATAAATATGCAAATATTTGAATAAATGAGTAAATAAATCCATAAATTTCTGCATAAATAAAACAATAAATAATTAAATATGCAAATATAAATAAAACAATAAATAAATAAATAAATAAATATGCAAATATAGGCTATAAATAAATGAATAAATAAATTTATAAATTTCTGCATATATAAATCAATAAATAAATTGCATATTTATTTGTTTTATTTATGCAGGAATGGTTTTATTTATTTATTTGTTTGAGTCTTTATTAATTAATTTATTGTTTTTACCGGTTTGCTATCTATCTATCTATCTATCTATCTATCTATCTATCTATCTATCTATCTATCTATCTATCTATCTATCTATCTATCTATCTATCTATCTATCTATCTATCTATCTATCTATCTATCTATCTGTCTGTCTGTCTGTCTGTCTGTCTGTCTGTCTGTCTGTCTATGCAAACGGCTAAATACCATTGCAGCAGGCAAGATTGAATAGTTTGTTTTGTTAAAATTAGCTGACATTATATAACAGCATAAACAGCCAGGCCCATCGATCATGTAATAATAAATAGTTTCCGTCACACATTCCGCGACGCGCTTCAGACATTAAAGCAAACGCCTTCACATCAAACTCCTTCCTCTCGGGAATTTCTGCAGACATGCAACATGAACTTTATATTTTCACTGCCCGTTTCCTGATCTGAGCAGTGGGAGGAGTCGTGAACAGGACAGGTGAGTAATAAATATAGCGTTCATCCGAGAGCAGTCCTCATTCATTTCTGCTGCTGCTTCACTGAGTACAGATGGGCAACTGGATCATCAATCACGGCCTCAGCGCCTTCATCGTGGTAAGAGCGTTTATTTACCTCATTATAGCATTCAGTTCCAAATATACTTCTTACTGTAAATTTACTTCTTCATTTAGTTACAAATGTACTTCTATAAACCGTTATAATCGAATTGGTCTTATGTTGATGTGTCTGTGTGTTTGTAGGTGGTGTGGATGGCAATAAACATCGCTTTGTTTGTCCACTTCTACTTGTTTTATGACCAAGGAGAGCGGTTTGAGTACACTCGAGAACTTTTAGGGGTAAGTGATGAGGACTTACTGAGGAATACAAAGTATTTTTTTAAGTTGGCTAATCAAAAGAGTGCAGCTTTATATTTTGTACATTAGAATGGGTTATAATTACCACGATATTTGGAAGACGTTAACTAAAGGGTCATTCAGTGTAACAATATTTAACATACACTCAGGAAATTACACTTGCTGTTTGTTTTAAAATGAGCTGAAGCTACATTGTTGAGTTTTTGGCTCAGTGTTTAATCCATATAAATTTGTAAGCACTAATAAACTAACTTAATTCCTTCATGTTGTCCCAACACAAAACGATCATGTGGAACCCAGCATACAAAAAAAAAAAAAAGAAAAAAAAACCTCTTGTCAGGGATATTTAGACCAATATCAATTAGTTGCATATACTGAAAGACTTATATATGATGAAATATAAATACTGAATATACTGATTGTTGCCTCCAAATATTAGATATGCCATTTAAAATCTTAATGTTAGTGTTTTACTCATTTAAAATGCAATTTAATGTTTTATATATTTTAACAGAGGTCAGAAAAAGCACATTATTTTATTTGTACATAAATATGCTGAGTGTTATAAAGGAATTCAACCACTTTAACCCTTTACACAGCCATTGTAACTACCTGGCCGACCTTTTATCCATAGGCTTTCATTATTATTTTAATTTCTTATTACTATTCAGAGTTGTGTCAGTATATTATTCAATGCAATGGTGGGCCAAAAATTTTTTTCAAGGAGTGCACCCTAATGAAATATGGACTGTATATTCTTTATAACAAAGAAGTTGTTAAGCATTTATATTCATTATCATAACAAGTATAGTCACCAAAGATCTTTAGAATATGCAGAATAATACATTAAAATTATTGAACAAAAAGTGATTTTTTTTTGTATCTACACCATGATTTTGGTTTGGTCTTCTCCTCACAAATTAATTGCTGTATGCTCATTTTTGCACCATGACCGTAACATATTTTGTAAGAAAATCTATAAAATTAACCAGACTTGCGTAAATATTTCATTGTGTTGCATTGTCACGACTCGGCTCACTTCACACTCATAAACACACTGGATCACAGGAATTATCAAAACGCATAAATTTATTTGCAAAGCACTGACTGGAGACACTGGCCCATAGACGTACAGAAATCAAGGATTGTAGACAATATGATACCAGATGCTGCATGGACAGACCCTGACATGCATCTCATATGCAAAAATTTAAAAGCGAGATCATTTAAAAATCTGTGAGGGTGCATTCATTTATCCTGGACACTGATATTAAATCATCATAAACATTACTTAAAAGGTCAAGGTCAATTTACACTGAAAAAAGCCTCATTGGATCAAATTAAAAAATACGTCTTTTAACTTTTTACACCAAAAGTTTTTTCAATTTAATTATCAATGAAAACTGTAATGAATTAAGTGTAAACTTATTCATGTAATTGTAACAAGCTGAAGTAATGAGTTTGAGTTTTCACTCTACAGTATATTTAGCACATTTAACTCCAATGTGCTTTACAGCAGCAACATTTCAAAATAAACCTTGAAGAAAATGTCATGCAAAATTTAAAACAACAACAACAATAATAATAATAACTATAGGCTAAAGAAAATAAGTAGTTTTTTTGGTAAGTTTATGTCTTACTAAAGTCTTCTTTGGTAAAGTAACTTACATTTAATGTGCTTTCTAAGTATACAAAATGAACCAAGTAAATAAAATTTGATCAGGTGATAAAACTGGACGTCTCTCCTTTGACCTCTAATCAAAAGAGAAAGTATTTGATTTAGTTTTATGATATCCACACTATAAAAATATTCAGAAATGTTTATTATACATTTTATTAAACCAAAATTTCAATAAAGTCACTTTGATAAACGGTAGAGTTGAATTTCCAACATCAAAAGTTAATGCAATATTGCTTTTATTTCCAGTCTGCATTGGCTTGGGCCAGAGCTCCAGCCGCCGTCCTCAACTTTAACTGCATGCTGATTCTCCTGCCCGTCTGCCGTAACCTGCTGTCTCTGCTGCGCGGCTCTTTCGTGGTGAGCTGCTGCTGCTGCTGTTACAGACTTAACTTTTCAGTTTACAGCAAAATGTGAGACCCTCTGTGTCTGTCTGCCCTTCTGTCCACCGTTTTAGTGCTGTGGACGAACAGTGAGGAAACAGCTGGACAAAAATCTGACTTTCCACAAGCTGGTGGCCTACATGATTGCTCTAATGACAGGTAAACAGCAAGTTTATCGAAATGGTAACAGGAAGTTGTTGTGCATAATAAACTAGGGTTAGGCTTTTAAACTGAATCATGCAGTCTGTGTTTACAGGAATAGACATTCACACCCCTGCTTTTTTCATGATGCAATAGGATAATCAGTTTTACTTTGTAAATAACACGGTTATCACACGTTAACCCACATTGCATGTAGCTAATCATTTAGGCCAAATCTGATTAAACATTAACCAAGTGAAATATATTTGACAAGATTTAATATCAGTTTCATCTGTCAGGACTGCTGTAATAATACTAGAATGGTCTAATAAGGCCACATAGACATATAGAAGTCATAATGTGAATATTAATTTTCATTACTAAAATATAGTATAGTGATATATTAATAATATAGATAATCAATTGTTCTGTAATTCAAGAATTGAAGGTACATTTCAGGCATTTTCCATTAATTTTACTTGAACCGGAATGATATGCAACAATGTTCAGTAAACTGACTACATTATTAATGTAAAATAATGCAAAATAAGGGTGACAGAGTAACTCAGTGGTTAGCACTGTCGCCTCACATCAAGAAAGTCACTGGTTCGAGTCCCGGCTGGGCCAGTTGAGAAGGGTATAAACGGAGGTCGGAGCCAGTTCCAAGTGGGCTGTGCAAACCTTTTTTAGTCATATTTAGAGTTCAATATTGTGCTTAATGAATGTGTACACCTAACCCTAACCCTAAACCCAACCTCACAGTAACCTGATAAACCCAACCTACTTGTGGTTTAAGTCCCTCCCACTTGGAGGTCACCCAACCTACTTGCGGTGTAATCCCTCCCACTTGCAGGTCTCTGGGCTGCAGCGATACCTACTTGGGCCAGTTGGAATTTCTGAGAAGTGTACTGTTGTTTCCCAGTGATGGGTTGTGGCTGGAGGGGCATCTGCTCTGTAAAACATTTGCTGGATAATTTGTCGGTTCATTCCGCTGTGGCGACCCCTGATGAATAAAGGGACTAAGCCAAAGGAAAGTTAATGAATTACTTAATTATTTCATGATTAATAAAGCTGAATGTAAGATTCAGAAGATAAACACAGTCAAAAATCTGTGTAGTGGGAGTCTTGAAGATTTTCAAGGCAAAATGTTCCTTAATACACATACAAGCATTATTTTTAGACATGAATTGATAGAATTTGTGTTATTAGTTCTAAACTTTTTCGCTTAGGTTTTTGTTTTGAAATATAATAGAAGGTTTATTTTGGAGAAGCACAATGTACCGCAATTGTAGAATCCCCCATACGAATCCTGAGTCCCTGTATTAACTGAGTATCTGCACTGTAAAATGCTAACTCACCAGTTTTTACAATTTTAACTGCATTAAACATAAAACTATTAGGTTTTTCTCCAAAAAAACATCAAGAATTGAGTTGTTTCAACTTATTTTAAATAAGTAGTTTGAACGAACAGCTAATGTCATTTTTTTAAGTGTGGTTGGAAGCCGTGCAAAGACAATATTGAATGTCTTCAAATGTCTAAGAATGTCAGAGCAATTACATAACCACAATTATGCACTGAGGATTGTTGTAAACACTTTCATAATCTTTTTTTTCCAGCTGATGAACCATTAACAGCTTATAGAAACAATCAGAATCAGTCCTGCTGTATAGAACACGTGCATTTAAAGCAGCATCAACCCTCAAGTATTCATTGTTATTGATGTAAACAGGCATTAAACCTTAAAACATTTATTTTGACATTGAATTTATTTGCGAGTAAATGCTTGCACTAAACCAACTTTACAATTGTTTTTACAGCTATTTCATGTTGTATTTTTTGCTGGTATTGTGTCTAATGTTGACCTTGTAATATCATTTCTTTAACACAGCGGTTCACACTATTGCTCACTTGTTTAATGCGGAGCGCTACAGCAACAGTTTAGAGGGTGAAGACGGAGATCTCGCTTTTGAGCTGTCCCTGCTCCAAGACTCCAGTGAATTAAACACCACTTACCTTAATCCCTTTCCCTCCAATTCTACGGTGAGTTTTAAAAAGTTTAAACCAGTCCTGTCAGAGCAAATAATTCTATACATATTATATAGATATATAATATAGTATGTATAGTTTATTAATATTATCTAACAACCTCTTGTATTCCTGTGTTTGGTTATTACGTGTATTTTTTATGCACATTGTTATATGCCAATCGTTTGTCTTTTTTTTTTTCACATAATTTCAAAATAAAATAATACAAATCTGATGGAAAAAAATAATATAATAAGTGATTGCTTTATAAATTGTATTAAGTACAGTGATGCTGATGCGAGAATAGTTTGATGCATATTTTAACATCACAAAAGATACTAAGATTTAAGATGCTCTCTATCTATTTAAAATCAGAGTAAACTTAGTTTGACGTGCACTTTGACCCATTTCTTGCCATTCGAAAGTTTGGGGTCATTTAGTTTTATTTAGATTTTATTTAGATTACATTAATAGTGTCAGTAAATATGTTTATAATTATTTCAGAGAGCCTTACATGTTATTAACAGCAATGTATGCTCATACACAGGGCTTTACATTAACTTTTTTGATCACCAGCCACTGTGGCTAGTAGATTTCCAACATTACTAGCCACTTGCCATTTCCACTAGCTACAATTTTGTTAATCTCATATTAAAGAAATGTTATTGTAAAGGATGATAATTAAACTATATTAACAAAAATAACTAAGCAAAAGAAAGCAGGTAAAAACATACCACGAGTGATAATGAAAGGATGATCACGTGCCTGAGAATAATTAAAACGAAAGCACTGACTGCTGCTGTTGCTTACAAATATATATAAAAAAAAAAAAAATATATATATATATATATATATATATATATATATATATATATATATATATATCAATCTTGAGCTCATTAAAGCAGCAGGACTATGGGTACACAAGCATCATTTTTTGTCTAGTCTTTTTCAAAAAGAACCGATCGCAAGTGAACGGGAAAAAAAGCGCAAGTAAACAGGAGTGCACGCTTTTAACAGGTGATGTGATGCGCGCGTGTAATCATCCTCTCATACGGTATTCACCTGCTTTGTTTCGCACGAACAGTTATTGTTTTCAGTCGTGCTGTTACTCGATTCAAAGATCACATTTGCCCTGCTTTAAGAAAACTACAATGTAAAAATTATTTCCAACCTGCCAAAGTGGCTAGTGGGAGCGGCTGTCCAACCCGCCAAAGCTGAAATCTACCCGGGTTGGCGGGTGTTAATGTAAAGCCCTGCTCATACATATATTGATAATTTAAATATTTTACTCAATGAGTAGCAATCACAGGACTTTATTATATTTCAAACATTTCACATCAGCAGTTTTATTATTGCAACTATATTAAAAAAGATATCTTACCTCAAACTTCCGAACATGCTTCATGGATCTTCTGTATTGTGATATGCCTGCTTTAATTGTGTCTGTCCTTGTATTCCAGACTCCAATGATTTTCGTATTCACCAGTATTGCGGGTCTCACAGGAGTCGTCATAACTCTCGCCCTCATCCTCATGATCACTTCCTCAATGGAAGTCATTCGCAGAAGCTATTTTGAGGTCTTCTGGTACACGCATCACCTCTTCATCGTCTTCTTTGCTGGTTTAGTTTTCCACGGCGCAGGGTAAGACCTATCAATTAGCTGAGCTAATTATTCAACTAATACACAGTAGATACATTTACATTTAGCAGACGCTTTCGTCCAAAATGACTTACAATTGAGGAGGCATTCAGTGATTCAACAAGAAGCAATACACGGAGGAAATGCTAATTATACTAAGGAACTGTCAGTGCTCAGAGAATTAAGAGCTAGAGTAAGAAGGGGGAGTGTTTATTTTAATAGAGAGAAGAGTGTTCTTACAGGTGGTTTATGAAGCCCACTTACATGTGGAATGAATGCAGTGTTTTTTTTTTGTTTAAAGAGATATGGATTGATTGTAAGAATGTGTCTAGTAGTGCAAATGTGCAAAACTGATGCAAGTGTCAGTTGAAGTGTCAGAGAGGAGAAAGAGTGTGTTATCTACAGGTGGTTTGTCAGTCCCACTCACCTGTGTGAGGGACTCTCGGAATTGCATCAAGTTTTGTGATTATAAAGTGTAAAAAATATTGTGGCTATTTGGTTTCCAGGCGTGTTGTCCGAGGACAGGTCACGACGGATCCGCCTCACAATAATTCCTTCTGCGAAGATCAGCCGGATAACTGGGGGAAGATTCCTGAATGTCCAATTCCACAGTTTGCAGGAGGGTCTCCTCAGGTAACCGTTGGTGAATGCGGTTGTTAGAGACATTTCTTTTTTTCAGTTATTATGTCAGGACTGAATAGGTTTGATAATCAGATTATAATTAGGTTTATGTCTGATAATTATTGTTTATTATTCATGTTTGAGTCTTTGCTTCAATGTTTTGATTTTGTGAATGAAGACTTTTGCTCTATTATTGCAAATCTGGATTTAAGGCAGCTAAGGGAGTAGGTGGGGTTAGTAAGGGGAGAGGAAACTATTTTTTAGACTGTGGCTACATCTGAAACTGCCTACTACTCAGTAGGTACTGCATTTGAATGTAAACATACTACTCGGCTGTTAAAAGTATGTTCTATACAGTATGAATGTGAGCAGGGCCGGATTAACCAATGGGCATTATGGGCACAGGCCCAGGGGCCCGTTCGCACTAGGGGCCCCTGCGAGGGGGGAGAAAAAAAAGGACAATTTCGGAGTGTCTTTTTTTCGCTAATTGCAAATAGCGCGTCTAGTTGGAATAAGCTTTTCAGGGTTTACGCCCGTCGATGCTTGATTGATAGAGACAAGAAGAGTGAAGAGCCATAAAACATTACAGCCGCAGTGGCGCACTTGTAAAGCGCACAGGTTCATCTTTTGGCGCGATAAATTATAAACTCGGTTCGAATCCACCATCAGCTGAACTCGTGCTACTTTTTTTCTCCCCATTACATATCAGATTGGAAATATATTTATTTTTATCAGGAAGAAAACATTTTTTAAAAATAATGTAAATGTGATATAAAGTCACAAGTGTCTCGTGGGTATTAAATAATGTTTAGCCTTATTGTAGGTTCCTCCCTCTCTGCAAAAACTATATTGCTCAGACAACTGTATTTCCTCTGAGCAAAAAAATCGCGATAGCACATTAATATTATTATTATATTTAAACTGCCTTTTTTTCTTTAACTAAACAGAATGCTGTAATTGGTCAAGCGCTGAAACGTCAGTTTTGTAATAACCCGCACTAAACTGAGCGGACTGTAGTATAACGTTATATCTGTCATAGATCAAAAATGAGTGGACAAGTGTATTTAGCAAACGCGAGAGAAAGAGGAGAGGAGGCATCTTCATTGAGGCATTTTCCATACACACCATCTTTAAACAGACCTATGATAAGGAGAATGAGGGTACAGAAGACATTATGGTAACTTTAAATGATGAGAAGCTAGCATTAACCAGGCGGAGGAGGCTAACGGCAGCGCAGCGCGGACTGGATTCATCGTGTGAGAGACAGACAGAAAAGGAGAGAGAGAGGGAGAGAGAGAGAGAAAGGCCCAGAAGAGGAGAGAGACGGGAGAGAAGAGGTATAGTGTCTGTGATACTTTTAGGTTTATAATCAAGTCTTCTTCACGAGAAGAGTGGAGAAAATACAGGGAGAGGAGGAGAGACACAGTAAATCAGTGTTTGTATTATGAAAGACTCAGATTGATAGAACTCAGATTCATAGAACTGGATTGGAGAAGCATTGTGCGTTATATGCCATGGCAATAATATGCTTTATAAGTTTGTAAAAGCAATACATTAAAATACCATATACATACACATATATATATATATATATATATATATATATATATATATATATATATATAGTTTTATTAATATTTTTATTCAATGCTTTGAAAAATAAGTTAAATCTTTGTAGACTATAAATACATATGTACTATATAGCATTTATTTAAATTTGTGGGCAACAAATTATAGATTAATTTTATTTAAAAATTATTACATTATTCTTATTTTTTAAATTCAACTATAGGGGTGGTAGGGGGCCTTACAAGACAATGTGCCCAGGGGCCCCTGAGTTCTTAATCCGGGCCTGAATGTGAGAAGTATGAGTGGAATTTGGCATACTACATTCGGCATTTTGTCATGGTCACTTGAATTGCCTGCGTCAGTTGCGTCGCTTTAGTCCCACTCATGAATTCTCTCATGGGGCATCATGAGATAGCATAGCATGCATGGGATGCGCACGTCAGAATCTCGCCGGTAGTAGTAGGTCATTCGGGCACTTCTCTTATACTGATTTTCGAATTCTATAAATTTGGACACACTACTCTGCTCGCATATTGGTTTTAGCGTACTTTATAGTATGTAAGTATGCGTTTTTTGTCGCAGCCCGTGAGTTGGTATCTAGTGACTGGTGCTACTGATTAGCATTGAAGCTGTGTCACAGATTTGATGGATCACAATGTGATGAAAATAAACGACAAAAAGGTTTTAACAGACTCGCGCATCTCACAGGCTTGAGTTCTGTATCGACGTCACGCCGACATGGCTGAAGACGCGTTACAGCTGAGGTTCCTTTGAATCACTATGAGTCGACTCTTTTAAGGATGAATCAATAGTTTTAAACACGGTGCACTTTCAGATTTAAGACTTAGCTGGATATTTCCCTTCACTTAGAGCTGTTACACACAGCATGTAAGGTCATTTTCAAAAACCCATAATAGGGGCTCTTTATTCATTAGTAAATGTTGAACTAAGATCAATAAATGCTGTACAGGTATGGTTTCAATTTAAGTATTTCAACATTAGCTAAATGGAACTGTATTGTAATGTGATTTCTTTGTCACAGACCTGGATGTACGTTATTGGACCGATGATCATTTACATTTGTGAACGGCTGCTTCGTTTCATTCGCTACATGCAGCCTGTCACTTACAGGAAGGTGTGTTTTCATGGACGTTTTGTCAAAATGGTCTTCTTCATTAGTCACGATTGCTCTGAAATGTCCAACGGTATTCATTCTGTTATGCTAGATTGTGATCCGCCCGTCTAAAGTGCTGGAGCTGCAGCTGGTGAAGCCTGGATTCAGCATGGATGTGGGCCAGTATGTGTTCCTCAACTGTCCAGCCATCTCTCAGCTGGAGTGGCATCCGTTCACCTTGACTTCAGCCCCGGAAGAGGACTTCTTCAGTGTGCACATCCGCTCTGTTGGAGACTGGACTGAAAAGCTCCTTAAGATGGTTGAAAACCTACCAGAAGGTGGACAAGGACCCAAGTATGTACTTTTGTGGATTTTTACTATTACATCGAGCTATGGTTTTCAGGGTTGGCAGGTTTTCGTTTTCTCTTGCACCTTACAAAGGTGTAATCTTCCTAGTAGGGTTTTTAATCATTGGTAGAATTTACATTTAGTAGAGCAAAATATTTTGGTGCAACCATATAAACATTTCTAATGCAATATGTCAATCCTTTAACATGTAGTATAATAATAATAATATTGTTTGTTGTTAAAGTGGCCACATTCTATGGGGAAATCTGTGAATTTGGTAACCGTGACTTAGTGGGTTTTCAGATAACCAGATGAGCAACTGTTTTTATATTAGTGTGAACAACAATGTATTAATCTCAAGAATATTTCTGTCCATGACTGTTTTCATGTTATAAATGCCAATAGCGGATTTGCATTTATGTCAAGATTTGGTCAGTTATCTGTATGTGCGGCCATACTAGCTACACTTCAATGTAAACTGAAAGTTAATATAGTAATATACACTTACCGGCCACTTTATTAGGTGCAACTGCATTTTAACACAATTTTCTGATCAGCCAATCACATGACAGCAACTGAATGCATTTAGGCATGTAGACATGGTCAAGACGATCTGCTGCAGTTTAAACCAAGCATCAGAATGGGGAGGAAAGATGATTTAAGTGACTTTGAACGTGGCTTGGTTATTAGTGCCAGATAGGCTGCTCTGAGTATTTCAGAAACTGCTGATCTACTGGTATTTTCATGCACAACCATATCTACGGTTAACAGAGAATGGTCAGAAAAGAGAAAATATCCAGTGAGCGGATTTTCTGTGGGCGCAAATGCCTTGTTGATGCCAGAGGTCAGTGGAGAATGGCCAGACTGGTTCCAGATTATATAAAGGCAACAGTAACTCAGATAACGGCTCGTTACAACTGAGGTATCACGAAGAGCATCTTTAAACACAACATGTTGAACCTTGAGACAGATGGGCAACAGCAGCAGAAGACCACACAGGGTGCCGCTCCTGTCAGCTAAGAACAGGAAACTGAGGCTATAATTCACACAGGCTCACCTAAAGTGGACAATAGAAGATTGGAAAAAAGTTGCCTGGTCTGATGAGTCTCGATTTCTGCTGCAACATTCAGATGGTAGGATCAGAGTTTGGCATCAACAGCAAGAAAGCATGGATCTATCCTGCCTTGTATCAACGGTTCAGGCTGGTGGTGGTGTAATCGTGTGGGGGATACTTTCTTGGCACACTTTGGGTCCATTAGTACCAATTGAGCATTGTGTCAACACCACAGCCTACCTAAGTATTGTTGCTGACCATGTCCATGCCTTTATGACCACAGTGTACACATCTTCAGATGGCTATTTCCAGTAGGATAATGTGCAATGTCAAAGCGCAAATTATCTAAGACTGGTTTCTTGAACAGGACAATGAGTTGACTGTACTCAAATGGCCTCCACAGTCACCAGATCTCATTTCAATAAAGCACCTTTTGGATGTGGTGGAACGGGAGATTCGCATCATGAATGTGCAGCCGACAAACCTGCAGCAACTGCGTGATGCTATCATGTCAATATGGAGCAAAATCTTTGAGGAATATTTCCAGCACCTTGTTGAATCTATGTCATGAAGGATTAAGGCAGTTCTGAAATGGGGTCGAAATGTGGTCCATTTTGGAAAATATTGGAAACTGGTAATCATTGACCTGCATAGTATTTATTTTTCCTACTATGTAAATCAATAGATACCGATTTCAAACATTCTTCAAAATATTTTCTTTCATGTTCAACAGAATAAACAAACCTATTAAGGTTTGGAACCACTTTTATGTGAGCTGGGTGAAGATTTTAGCATAATATTTCACTTGCTTGACAAAAAATAAGAGCAAACGTGGATGTTTTAAGCTTAACCATGTGTTATTTTACATAGGAAGACTGATATAATGATTATTAATAAGTTGGGGTCTTATTTTTCATCAGGATGGGTGTGGACGGCCCTTTTGGAACAGCGAGTGAGGATGTTTTTCATTATGAGGTCAGCATGCTGGTGGGAGCGGGGATTGGAGTGACCCCATTTGCCTCCATTCTGAAATCCATCTGGTACAAGTTTAAGGACTCAGACCCCAAACTACGAACAAAGAGGGTAAGAATGAATGAGATGAATATAAGGAAGCAGCATGCAAAGGTCAAAAATAATCAATCCTTTTGCTGCAGTGTTATCACAAATGTTGCTTTCATGTTCTCGATAACGAAGACCGGCATTCTTTAAAACTGAGTTTCCTTTTCATTTCTGACTTCTGTGTTTAGATTTACTTCTACTGGCTGTGTAGGGAAACACACGCCTTTGAGTGGTTTGCAGATCTGCTGCAAGTGCTTGAAAGAGAAATGGAGGAACGAGGAATGAGGGATTTCCTCACGTATAAACTCTACCTCACCGGATGGGACCAGAGTCATGTATGTGCAATAAACCCATTTGAAAAGCAAGCTGAAATGTGAGTAATGTGTGTGCGCGTGTGTGTCATGGGATATCTAATCTTGCATTTACAGGCAGACCATGCAATGGTGCACTTTGATAAAGATACTGATATCATCACCGGTCTAAAACAGAAGACTCATTATGGCCGGCCGAACTGGGATAAAGAATTTGAACAAGTTCGTCAAGAAAACCCATCGTAAGTTTTTGTTAATTCTTCACAATGTTGTTTCTTCTTTTCTTCCACCTGGTATTAACATGATTTTTCAGTGATCTGCTCACAAGCGGTCAGCCAATGTGTATTAATGATTCCACCAGGTATTAAAGGGATAGATTACCCAAATAATGATTTACTTAAACTCGTAAGATTTTTGTTCAACCTTGTAATCCAAACAAAGATATTTTAGATGAAACCAGAGAGCTCTCCATAGACAGCATGAGTCTTTAAACATTCAAACTCAAGGAAAGAAACCAAGAAATTTCCTCAAAACAGTTTCATCAGTGATTCAATAGTATTTTTATGTAGCTACGACAAGAATCCGCTTGTGCCCTGCTGACATTTTGACCCTAGGGCATACTCATAGATCTATGCTATCCGAACCGTACCCAGGCCCGTTTCCCGGATCGTTTGAGAAGTGTGAGTGTTCTGAATCAGGCTCAGGCACAGTTCACTTGGCCGGCCCTGGCCCGGTTAGAAGAGGTGTGCCAGAGTGCGGTTCGCTTGTAGTGTAAGTGCGCCAGAGCTCAAAACTTAAGATGAGACGTGACTTTACGGGATTGTTTGATATGAATTTATTACTCATTCTTACTGTTCAATGAACGCAAACTGTCGTAGATTATTAAATATGCAAATTCCTCACTGAACAGGGCATCATCGATGACGTAAGCGTGCACAGGCCCGGTTCAAGGCAACTGTACATAGTGTGAGTTAGGGCTGGGCGATTTGGCAAAGAAAAAAAAAAAAGAAAAGAAATCTAGGTTTTTTTTTTATAAAGTTGGACAGATTTACGATTTTGATATTTTTTGTGTAACTAGTCAACTTAAAACATTAAAACAACATGACTGAGGTAAAATTCTCTTTATAAGTAGCTTGAAATACCATCTGGTTAAGGAACATTGTATTTTTAATGGCCATGCTATACATAAATTGGTCAACAAGGTGTAAATAAATGTAAAACAAATTCACGAGTTGAATATCGTTGCAGAGGATTTTAATCAAAAAAAAAAAAAAAAAATATATATATATATATATATATATATATGTGTGTGTGTGTGTGTGTGTGTAAATATTGCAATTGCAGGAGAACAGGGGTATTTTTTGCAAGTTTTGCTGAGCCTAGGAAAGATTGGCTGTCAGCTCGGCTTTGACTTTGTCTTCTGATGTAATGACAGGTTGTATTGTTGCTGCCTTTTTCTTAAAAAGATACAGTGGAAGTAAAGGACTGAACATGGAAACTGTAAAGCCTAATTTAACTTAATGTATGAAGGACGTATAGCAGGAGCAAATACAAGCACCAGATGTGTGTCTAATATAAAATAATATATTTAATCTACTTTCCCCCCCCCTTTTGAATATTGATCATTTGATGCGCTTTGTACCACTCTCTGTAGTATGCTGCCTGATCTGTCTGGTTTTCAACTAGGTCCGCTAAATGACATCATGGGGACGGGTACTTTTGTTTTCACTGCTACAGGCCCTCACCTCTGCTTGTGAGATTGAGTTTATCGACTTGATGAGGGAATATGTCTTGACAATTCACACAGATGTGACTCAGACTAACGCATCAAGTAAAATCCTACATGACTTCACGCTTTAACAGACAGTCAAGCAGGTCGCACACCAGAAGCGCCGCGACACGGCGCGCACATGACAGTTTAAAGTATCACACACCAGACGCGCACATTCGCACGATATTTAACATGAAACTAATCAGATGGCGCTCTATGGTGCTGCTGAAATATAAACTGCATCCTGAATCGTGGCTGGGCGGCACCGGTGTATGTATAGAAATCGGTTTAGAATTCTAAAATCCATGGCGCTGCGTGGCGTGTCGCCGAGCGGCGCCACCTGCTTCATACAGAGAGTGAACCAAAGCGCATTGGTGCCATTATAATGTATCAAATATAAAAAAAAATTTAAAAATTCGTAATTTCTCAATTTTTTTTTTTTTTTTTGTAATTATTTTTTAGGGGTTTTCACCTTTATTGATAGGACAGTGGAGATATAGAGACAGGAAAGTGTGGGGAGCAGAGATAGGGGAAGGATCAGCAAAGGACCTCGAGACTGGAACCGAACTCGGATCGCTGCGAGCACCTCCGTGCTATGTGTCGACGCACTAACCACTAGGCTATTGGCGCCGACTTAATTTCTCGATTTAAGATAAAATTAAATAGTCATCAAAACGTAAATTCAAATTACTCTTTAAAAAAATAAAAAATAAAAAAATAAAAATAAAATTTTTTTAAAAAAATTAAAAAAAATCGGCCACCCCTAGTGCGAGTACATCCTTATTCTTTCACATCACACTAGGATGGACATGTCTATTGGAAACTCAATGGCTCAAGATTGACTTCCAGCCGTGAAAATAACTGTTGCAAATTGGTATTTTTTAATAATATTGTTTTTATGTATTCTCATAAATACACTTGTTTGTAGAGCAAGTAGTTTGACCGTTTATTACTGTTATTTCTAGTCATTTACACTATGACACGCATACAATACACAGTGCTCTTGCAAACACTCATCCTGAACTGATGCTGAAGACAATAAACTGGAATAAAATCATTATTTTGGGGTTTCTGTGCCAGTTGTAAAATACTCCAACAGTGTTTATTTTCACAATGCGCAGGTCTGTGGTGGGAACGTTCCTGTGTGGCCCACAAGCCTTAGCGAAGGACTTGGAGAAGAAATGTGTGAAATATTCTGATGTTGATCCCCGAAGAACCAAGTTTTACTTCAACAAAGAGAACTTTTGAGGAAATATTAAGGAAATCTAATTCACTTGAAGAACTTTCACAATACAGACTGTGCTGCAAGATCAACATATGGCATTTTACAACTTTCCACACTATCGTGACGAGAAAAACAGAAGACCTAATTTCCCCTCTTGGAAATTGAGCATGTCACTAGAAGAGACGAATCCCATGTCTGAGGCAAAGGTTCACTTATTGTATTTCTTGTTCATGGTCTGCCTCTCAAAGTTCCTGGTTAGATACGAGTCATCAGGAATCCAGGAAATCAGATGAGTTAAACGTGTAATGTTAATAAACACCTCTTTGTGTAAAGAAGTTCAAAGTTCTAAAATTAGCAGAACAAGAAGTTACTAAAAAAAAAAAAGACACTGATGTTTTGGAAATTTCACCTTTTTCTTGAAAGCAAAACAGGAAATGTCTTTTTAATTGTATCAACAAATGTGGTTGTGTAGCCTTTAAACGAAATGTATCATTAATGTATGCTGTACATAATGTTTTTGTTAATTTATTTCATTTGTTTGTTGTTTTGTCCGTTCATTAATTTTTGTTAATTTCATTTGTTTGTCGTTTCATTTGTTCACTTCAGTTGTTCGTTTTGTTTGTTTATTTGTTTTTTGTAGGTTTGTTTGTGTTTGTTCATTTTGTTTTGTACATTTGTTAGTTTCATTTTGTTAGTTTCGTTTTATTTGTGGTTTTATTTTTGCTTTTCTAAAGTTTTAGATATAAAACATGAAGCCAGGAACTAATTATGCATTAACAAAAAAATCCAGTTTGTTTATGGTTTCGTTTGTACATTTTGTCTGGTTTATTCATTTGTTTGGTTGGTTTTCAATTTGTTGTTCCTTTTTTTCATTTTTGTTTGTTCATTTTGTTTGGTTCATTCATTTGATTTGTTAATTTTCTTTTTTTGTTTGTTCATTTTTGTTTGTTAATTTGGTTTGGTTTGATTTGTTTATTTCTTTGTTTGTTCGTTGTTTCATTTGTAAATTTTTTTGTTTGTTCATTTTGTTTGGTTCATTCTTTTGATTTGTTGGTTTCATTTTGTTCACATCGTTTTATTAGTTTGCTTCACTTGTTTTTTGTTTTTCTAAAGTTTTATAAATAAAATATAAAGGCAGGAATACATTTCTGCATTAACAAAAAAGTTTGTTGTTTCATTTGTTCGTTTAGTTCATTTGTTTGCTTTGATTTGTTTTGTTAAATTTTTTTGTTTGTGGTTTTGCTTGTTTGTTTTTCTTTGTTTGGTTCATTCGTTTGATTTGGTTAGTTTTATTTCATTTGTTTTTTTACTTGTATGTAGTTTGATTTTTGTTTTTCTAGTATTTTTAAATAAAATATAAAGGCAGGAATTAATATCTGCATTAACAAAAAATATACAGTAATTTATTTCAAAGTCCAGTCGTTTATTTGTTCAACCACTATTAGTATACAACTGAAAATGAGAAAATACCACTATAAAACAAAAACAACAAAGAAATTACAGCTGTAGGACTGTGAACAGGGGATGGGCGTCCGATTTAAGCATACAGGCGGGCCTGCAATCACAGAAACACATTTTTCCACAATTGTGCATATGCAAATGAACCGTATCTTGTTCTGTTACAAAAGAAAAGCATGTTCCAGATTGTCACAGAACCTGTAATTAGCATAATGAGCTGTTTCTGGATGGATGGAAGAAAAACAAAAGCGCTCACGTCACACATGTTCAGGGTGCGCCTGCCGTCTTCTGGATCTGCTCCTTCAGGATCAGGATGCTCTGTCTCTGCTCCGCTGGCAGCATGGCGATCTGTTCTGGGGTCAGCTGAAGGACCTGCATGATCAAGGCAGCCTGGGAGCGTGCAAACAGCATTCAGATTAGCATCCAAAAGATGAGCACAGTGTTACATAACACAGCTCGTCAACATTTACATCAGCACGTCTACTAGTGAATCTGGAAAATCTGGTTAGTCAAACACTTAAAGAGATACATATCTAAAATGCTTTCCACAGCGCATAATGATAACCTTTTTAGGAAGCTGTTTAGGAATTTCATGCAGCGGTGAATAGCTGTCATCAGTTCTTTCTTTGAAAGTGTAAAGAACGTTCTGTAATTGACAAGTGCAGTAAAGAAAAGACAAAGACAAAAATACACACCTTCTCATGATCTTGTGATGACACGTCTGATCCAGGACCCTGTTACAAACACAAATGAGATTTTTACATGTTTACATGATGAAAAATTATTACATTTCATAAAAACATTTGAGCTGCAAAGTGTTTAAAATTATATTGTTTCAGTGTGAAATTGGTGACATCTTTCAATTGTTTATCACATGTTTGCAGTACATCGTTCACATGAACACTGAAGAAAATGAGTATTGAACACGTTACCGTTTTTCTCAGAAAACATATTTGTAAAAATGCTGTTGACTTGAATTTTTTACCAGATGTTGGAAACAACCAAAGAAACTCATGTATGGAAAGAAAACAAATCTAATTAGTTCACAAATAAAGTTATGTGTAGTGAAATTGAAAATGTACTGAACACATGAAGAAAGGGAGGTGTGGAAAGGTAGTGAAAGCCTAGACAGCAGCTGAAATCTCTCAGTAGTTCTTCAGCAACCATCTGCCCTTCCTCATTGTAAATTAATATTAGCAGCTTCAGTCCAACATCTACATTAGCAGGAGGATGAAGATGAAACCAGGGTGGACATTTCAGCAAGACAATGACTTGAAACACAGCCAAGGAAACTCTCAAATGCTTTGAGAGAAACAAAATCAAGCTGTAGAATGGCCCAGCCAATCACCTGACCTGAATCCAGTGGAAAATACAAATTAAAGCTCAGATTTGATAGACGAGACCCACAGAACAATCCAGATTTTTTACACTGTTGAAGTCTTTAAGCTGCCATCACCTTTTATAAAAAGTGTTAAATATATTTTAGTGGTTCAGCACTTTCTCCTTGTGTCATTTCATTGTTAGTACACATCATTTTCTTAGATGTTTTTAAAAATTCTGTTTTATTTTCATGTTTGCATTTTTACCAAAATCTGGTTCAGTTCCATGTCAACAACAGCTCCATTAGAAACATTATTCCCAGAAATAAAAACACAATCTGTTTCATACTCATTTCCTCCACTGTACATGTTATTCATTTCACTTCCTTTGCAAAGGAAATGTTGAAATAAGTAAGATTTTATTTTGTGTTTCTTTTGTTCAGCAAGGACAAAAAAACATATAAAAGTGATTTCCGAAGAGTCATGCGAGTGTGAATAATGATGCTACAAATAAAGCTTTGCATCATAGAAATAAATGACATTTTGAAAACACATGAAAAATAGAAAGCAGTAAGTTGAAAATAACAATAATGTTTCAAAATATTGTTTTAGGTTTGTGTTTTACTAAATTACTGTGGCTTTTCTCAGCATAAAATACTTATTTTTTAATTCTATAACACTATTTTCTGTAAAGATGCTTTAGCTGCTTCCATTCTCATTAATTCAGACTTTATTTTATTCAGACTTTATGAAATAACTTCGTTATTAGTTTTCTTTATTTCAATTTTGCTAGTCTGATTAACCAAATCCTACAATAATACCACGCACCCCTAGATATAACCAGAAGACAATTTTATTTAAATGTTATTACTAGCAAATAGATTTTTTATAAGAGTGTATACAGGAATCAAGAGTGAAATTCAGTATCTTTTAACACTCTTTCCATACATTTTAAGATCTTCTAACCACTTTAGGTTTCAACCAGAAAAACTGCTGAGATTTCAACTGGCAGTTTATTTTCTAAATATTAATGTAAGAAACCATCTAAATCTAAAACTAAAACATTATTCATATCCTGAATAACAATCTATTAAATCTAGCTAACATAGCAGGTTGGAGCCGATAGAACTGCAGAACGATGCCTTGATTACTGCAATAAACAAAGCAGCATGGTGTCAAATCTAGTAGGATTTCATTCATTTTATAAACTACACAACACGCCAATATTTGCAGATTTAATTCAGATTTAATTCAAACCTTAGCATACAACAATACACTGCATAATCAAAAATGAATTTAATACCTTACAAAATAGCATTTAAGACTTAAATACTTTTTAAGGGGCTTAAATTTCTCTACATTGATTTATCAACATTTAATAGTTTTTAAGACCCCACGGACAGCCTGTATAAACATAATGGACCCTTCCCTAAGCCCCGCCCTCCTTAGTTATTGTTGCTACGCCTGTCAAGCTTTCATGCCTGGTCTATTATAAAGTGTATGCGCCGGTGTCAGACATTTCCAAGGATATAATAGTCATTTATGGCAAACAGGTGAGATATCCGAGAAAGCCAGACAAAAAAAGAAAAGGACTGCAGTATGCATTACAGGAGTAGAATTACGATATAATAGCAACCGATTAGAAAATAATTTAATCAAAATTAAAGCTAGGTTAGCCTAGCCGCCACATCTGCAGCCCATTCAACAACTTAGTTCATGCTCAGCAGGAGAGGTGACATTTTAAAATAACCTAATAATAACATACGAAACCGGGATTTCTCTATTTTTAGCCAAAAAGCCAGATGGACTATTTGTTGTCCAATGAAATATAGCGTTACTAACCGACAAAGAAACAGGCATGGACAGTGCTTCTACATAATTCATTGATAGAAAGAGCAGCCAGAAAGGGGAAACTGATGGATTTGTGCTGAATTTTAGCATCGTTTACCCATAACAATGTACAGTAATTTACCCATTAATGCCAGTGTGTTTGTGTGCTCTTTATAAATCACTGAAAAACAGCTGCGGGTGAAGTATATTGAACACAAGTGCTCAGTTTGTGATCATATCTCGGTTTTGTTCTGTTGATTTGTAGTTTCAAATATTCGTAGCTTGACACAGATGGAAGGATATGAAGTTCAGTAAAGTTAGCAACAGATTCGCAGATTCGTATTTTCTAGATCAATAACTCAAGACCTATTCGCTATTAGTATGAATAAGTTACTATGGCGAGGGCTTAAACGGAGCAGTGCTCATAATATCGAACGAAAAAGAAAAAAAAAAAAGCAGCTGTGAAACCTGCTTTGTATTTTTGTAGGAGACCCAGTTTAGATCTGTTTAGGGTAAGAGGTGTGTAAGTTATTGCTGTTGGTCTATCATGAAATGTGTCAGGAATATCAAAACTCGGCTCCTTTAGCGCCCTTCACACAGCTTGATCCACGCTGGCATTTCTCTTCTTAGGTTTTAGGGGAAAAATTCCACCACCCTGTCCAAACTTTTAGGATACCGGGAGTCAGATTTGCACAAGACTTTGGCCTGTTTCCCTCGCTCAAAAGCTTGCCAGAGCCCCTGCGCTTAGCTACAATTTGGTGGGTGGTGGTTTTTGGGTGTGGCTTAGCAAAGGGTCAATTTTATTATTAATTTGACTTATTTTTTTATTTTTATTTTTTTTTTAAGTGCAATTTTGCTACTTGGAAAATGAGGAATTTAAAGTTTAAAGGTCCCATGAAGTGCTTTAAAATGTGCATTTTTGTTTGATGTTTTGACGCAATCTCAACTAAAAAACGTTGAGAAGCAGGACATAGAGTAGCTCCTCCCCTTTAAAAAAACAGCCAATAGCATTTTGTTTTATTACAGCTCTGCCAGTAAGAGTTGTTGAGTTTAAGTGGATCAAATAAAAGCTAATGAGAAGCATCTTGAAGTGGGCGGGGAATGTCTGACACTAGAGAGCATTTGATTGGCTAAGATTTGATGTGAAACTGAAGTATGAGGTGACTTTAAAAAATAATCATGTATCCATTTAGGCGGAAATGACAAACTTCAAGCGTTAGATAATTATTTCAGTGTTATATCTTCTAAATGGGAATTTCGTCATTGTTTTGTATCACACTAGCTTATCGATATTCTTAACGACTAACATACTGATACAAACATTTTTTTTAAATTATTTAAATTTTACTGCACCTTTAATGTTTTTTAATATTTAATTTCACATTTCAATAATAACAGTAATTTTAAAATACAAAAAGTGTTTTTACTGGTCTGGCCGGTGGAGGTGCGCCCGGTCCCATGCCGTGGGGTGGAGGACCCTGCATTCCTCCAGCCACAGGACCTCTCGGTCCAGCAATCGGCCCCCGAGCATCAACAGCTCTCGGATCACGACCTGGGGGAATTTTTTATATCATTTTACCAGAAAGATGTATCCTTCATCAGAGAGTCATTTCAGAACGAAGTAGAACAGACATTCAATCAGGCAAACAAAAAAAGCAAAAGCACACTGGAGTACCTCGCGCTTCAATGGGTGGCCCACGCTGCTCCATCATTGGCCCTCTGGGTTCTCCCATCATTGGTCCTCCTCTCATGTCATGAGGGCCTCGCATGTCTGGAGGAGCCATGTGCATGGGGGGCCCCTGATGCTGTGGTGGGCCGCCAATATACCCACGGCTACAAATAAACAAAACAACCTTTGTTATTACTACAATGGAATCAACAGAAATCCATAACAAGGCTTTGTTCAGAGCAAATGCATTAGTTATCAAATACACAATACAAACTGCTCGCATACTTGACTACAGTCAAGAAGTTATTACTAATGTTTTGGGCGAGAAAGGAGGCTATGGCTTTGGAGATTTGATGTCTACTTTACATTTGGAGTAAATTATCTACTGTTTGATAGGGAAAACTTGAGCAATTTGACAAAATACGTACTTTTGTCTGTAAAATTTACAAAAACCCTATCGACTGATGCATCAAGTAAGGTATTTTTAATTAATTTTTCATCACAATATGCAGTTTAAACAGGTCTTTGTAAACTTTGTAAGGAATGGATTGTGGTGCATTGTTTGTTTTTCATTTTTTTGTTGTTTTGTTCGATTTTTTTATATTTTGTTTATTTCATATGTGTAGTTTGTTTGTGGTTTCATTTAGTTTGTTTAATTTGTTTGTTTCGTTTGCTGTTTTATTTGTTTGTTCATTTCTTTCATTTGTTTGTGGTTTTGTTTCCTTTGTTACTTTTGTTTGGTTCATTTGTTTGTTGTTTCCTTTGTTAGTTTTGATTGTTGGTTCATTTGTTCGGCTCGTTTGATCTGTTTGTTTCATTTCGCTTGTTTGTTTATTTCTCGTGTCCGTTTATTTCGGCTTTCAGTTTATTTTGCTTGTCCATTTTTTTCACTTTGTTCGTTTCATTTGTTTTATTTCGCTAGTTCATCATTTTCTTTCTTGTTTTCAAATTTTATTGCATTCTGTGCATATATGAAATATGTGGACAAAATATGTTAAACTGCAAATCCTATTTTTATCTTTGTCTTTAATTAAACTATTTGACAAAAAAATATTGTAAATGTTAAACTCTTTAGTGGTCAAAAATTAGAAACAAAAATCAAAAACCGGTTCAAATTTCTCACTTAAGTAGGACTTAAAGTATTAACAGAAGTATCAATACAATTGATCAAGAATACATTAAACAATTATATTTATTTTACTTTTCTGCACTAAAAAACTGTTCACCAACGTTTTCTCTTTCTAGTCAAGTCGTCAGGGTGTGTGTTAAATACCCTTAATACGACACATTGTAATTAGACTGACCAGCACAGAACACAAGTGTCGCATTGCTCATGGTAAATGTGCACTGGGACCTAATGTGGGTGAAGAGAAAACATTGGCAAACAAACTTGTTTTTACAGTTTATTTGGTGTACAAGTGTGTTCTCAGTGTGTTTTGTATGATTACAGTTCAACCACTAAAGTCACATGGAATGTTTTAAAAGTTTTTGGTTGCTTTTCGGAACATCGTATGACCCTTGCAGTCTATGGAGGATGTGGGAGCTTTTGGATTTCATCTAAAACATCATAATTAGTGTTACGAAGGAGGATTGGAACAACAATAACGAATCATTGAACTAATCTTTTGAAATTTCACAACTGTATGAGGGAAAATTTACTTCTTAAAAATATTGATTTACTTGGAGCAGACCTTGATGAGTTTCCTTAGTTTGGTTCACATGTTCTAATATGAATTAACAATTACAATCGCTTCAAAACCAACTGAACGAGGCACCTTCAAATCAATTGAAGAAAAACTTTGAAAAGATTTGGTTGTGGGCAAAAAGCAATCCAACATACGAACGGAGCGCAATCATAATTTTACAATCCAGTATGATCAATGAGTGGACAATACTTACACATGACTAGCATAAACATTATTTCACAAACTGAAATGTTTCCTTTTCGAAACAAACTGAACAAAGAAAAAAAAAAACAACATTCCAATAAATAATACTTATTTAAAAGTACAGCAAATAACCTACAGCAGTGGTTCTCAAACATTTTTCATCAAGAACCACCTCAGAAAAAAAGGTCTCTCCAAGTACCACCATAATGACGAGGCAGATTAATTCCTATTATTAAGAATATATATTTTATTGTCAGCCACTTTTTAAAGTTAATTAAAAATGGTATGCTACTGTTTTTAAGGTAAAAAGAAAACTGCTTTACTTAAATGTAAAGTATTAATAAATAGTAGCCTATTCATCAAAACTGGAAATGTTGCTTGGCAACATGTCATCATACTTGTATATAAACAATTTTGAAATATGTTGCATGTACACTTGCTGCTTTACTAAACAAAAAATTTTATATATCAAAAACAAATTATTTTACACAACAATGAACACACATTTAACACATTTGTGATCATTATTTTACCAATGATGCAGAACGGGGAGATTCCTGAGTTTGCAGTAACTGAAATGCCAACACAACAGCACTGGTCTGCAAAAGCGCTTCTCTAGTATCTGCTCCACAAGTGCTGCATGCCTCTTTCTCTGGCTTTGCATCAAAGCGGGTTGATTTTTAGCTTGACCGTATGCTTTAGAGAACAGCCAGTGCTGATAATATCAGAGTAATCATTCGCATTAAAGAGTTAAAGGTGTGTTATTATAATTTTTTTCATTTATTATCCAGTATTTCTCCATGTACCACGTAAAGCCTGCGTACCTCTAGTGGTACGTGTACCACAGTTTGATAACCACTGACCTACAGGATCCAAAAACACCCTAAATATCATGGAGATAAGGTTTGTAGGATGTCTTACCCTGGTTCTACCACCTCTCCAGTGACACTGACCAATGATCCACCTCGCGGGTCATTTGGACCGTCACCAAGAAGGCCTCTGGGTGGGATCCCAGGGGGACCTTGAGGGGCCCCTCGCATTGGGGCACGAGGATCTACTATCGGCACTAAGAAGAACACATGAAGAAAAGATTAACTTAAACTGATTTGAAGAAAATGCATGTTATACACTACAAGATTAAATAGATAAGCGGCAGTCTAGGGCAGTGTTTCCCAACTTTCTTCCTGGAGGCACACCAACAGTACATATTTTGGATGTCTCTCTTATCTGACCATTAAAGATAGGTTTTGGAGCCTCTTCTAAAATTCGAGATGAGTCAATTCAAGTGTGTTTGATTGGGGAGAGGTTGAAAACATGTACTGTCTGTGTGCCTACAGCAAGAGGGTTGGGTAACTCTGGTCTAGGGCTGCACAATATTGGGGGATAAACAGTATTGCAATATTTAACTTTTGTATGATATATATTGTGACATGAAATACTTCACTAGATGACTTGATTAACTATTTGTTATTAATTTCAGATTGTTTGGGTGACTTTTGCAGGAGAATGAATCTGCATAAATTATTATACTCTAAAAATGCTGGATTATTCTAACACTATCTTGGGTCAAATATGTACAAACCCAAACTTTGAGATAATTTTGCTTTTAATTAATTTTTTTTTTTTTTTTAAAGTTCATATAATAAAAAAACGTATCCATATTTTACCTAAATGTTGGATAAAACAACAGCATTTTTTTATGATAACGAAAAAATCATTAAACATGAATAAATAAAAAATAAAACTTTACATAAACTATGTAATTTTTCTGTTCAATGTGTGATAAATAACTCCAAATTCTTCCTGGTGATATATTTAAAGACAAAAACATCTATCAAAGTGCTCTTAGTACAAAAAAAATGTCTAAACATTTTAAAAATGTCAAATTCTGACATAATATAAGTGATTTAAAGTGAGAGAAGCATGATAGTGATTATGTATTGTTGGTATATCAGTAAATAAAAATGTCAACCACTTCGGGACCCATTTGGCATCCGGTATAAAACACAGATGTCAAACTCAATTCCTGGAGGGCCGCGACTCTGCAGTTCAGCTTCAACCATAATTAAACAAACTTGATCAAACTAATGGAGTCCTGCAGGCTTGTTTTAAACCTCCAGTTAAGTGTATTGAAGCAGGGTTGGAACTAAACTGTGCAGCGCTGCGGCACTCCAGGAGCTGAGTTTGATACCCCTGGTATTAACAGTCTGGTCATGCCTGGTCTTTAAAATACATAGCTTTTATTCTTACATTTTTCCCAGTCCAATTGCCTTGTTCGTATATATACCAAAATAACAAAATGACAGCATTTCCAAGTGAAATTTCACTGAACAATTGTAAATGACTGCACCTATAGACAAGCAAATTGCACAAACTACTTAAGCAACTTCTTTAAAAGATGATAAATTATGTTGTATTGTCAAGCACATACTTAGCAGCTCTGAATGACACAGTTATGACACCAAAGCAATTCCAGAAGGGAACTTCCACTGAAGGAAACTAAAATGTTCCACTTCACAAACAAAAGTATATGATTTCAGCCATCAGAGAGTCACTGATTAACAAAAGGATTTCAACATCTTTACCGAGTAAAACCCATCAATACTCAGTCTGCTGCATCTGCACATTCCTCGGGGTAACAAGACTTCATTGTTCAAGTTTTAGACGTGTAACAATAAAAGGTTAAAAGTGTTTACAAGGCTTCAAGCACGTTTGCTTCAGAAACACAATAAAGCAAGACACTCCTACATTTCAACACCATTTTAAACCAGAGATGAGTGATGTTGATGGTCATTTGTTTGAACCGTTTCACTTCAACGTAAATTAAACGTCAACTTTACTCGCTTCAAAAATGCTGTAAAGACAATTAGATCCAACCATGTATTCTCTGCGCTCTTTTTTTTCTTTCTTTTTTATTATCTGCTTTATGTACACAATGATAGCATACGTCATAGTAAAAGAGTTAATAAAGAGTAATTAACTTCATTTGTGTCTGTAGGCAGGGTGCTAATTATACATTGAAGATAGGGGGGGTAAAGTTTATCGGTTATGTTCGGTAATATGCCTTGAACTAAATTTATAGATTTAATTCAATTACATCTAATTTATCAAGCTTGTTCTTATGTTTTCAGTGTTTTGAGGGATATTGATTGGCCCTCAATGACATTTGTGATATTAAATAAACAGTAACAGCAGGGCTCAACAATAAGGACTGCCCGATCGCCCGGGGCCAGCATGAAAGATGCTTGGGACAGTAGACAGAATTGTTAGAGGCCTGATCGGGGCAGTGCTGCCTTGTCACTGAATTTTAATAGACGGCAACATAACTGTAACATTAAACTATGAGGCTAAAAGAAAGCATTTGTTTCTAACGCTGTGAAAACATTTACATGGGTACAACATGACAATGTTGTAAAAAAATTTAATGTTTTGCATAGTTTGCTGTCACTTTTAAGTCAGCCACCTTTTGTTTTGCAATAAAATACCTGCACATTTTCCATACTGGAATATTTTACTGCTAAATATTTAAACATTTTTTAAATATTTAAATTATAGATTCACAAACATTATTTAGTGACACATTATTTAATATATTTGGCTAAGAAATGGCAAATTACTTTTCTTTTTTTTTTTTTTGTGGGACAAATGAAAATTTTAGCAGGGCAAGTACAAATCTGAACCACTGGTCTAATCGGGCCAGTAGATAAAACCCTTAGTGTTGAACCCTGAACAGGTTTGCTTTCCTGTACCTAATATAATGGTGTGAACTATTACAAGGTTCTCAGACCATAATGGTCATAAAAAAAAACAATTCTATGGTCTGATGAGCCAAAAATTTAACTCTTTAGAGTAAACGCCAGGCTTTACATCAGGAGAAAACCAGGCACTGCTCATCACCAGGCTAATACCATCCCTACAGTGAAGCATGGTGGTGGCAGCATCATGCTGTGGGGATGTTTTTCAGCAGCAGGAACTGGAAGACTAGTCAAGATAGAGGGAAAGTTGAATGCAGCAATGTACAGAGACATCCTGAATGAAAACCTGCTTCAGAATGCTCTTGACCTCAAACTGGGGTGACGGTTCATCTTCCAGCAGGACAATGACCCAAAGCACACTGCCAAAATATCAATGGAGTGGCTACACAACAACTCACTGAATGTCCTTGAGTGGCCCAGCCAGAGCCCAGACCTAAACCCTATTAATATTAATATGTTTGCCGCAAACATGCATTTACAATGGTATGAACCATTACAGGGGTGGTCAAATGTATATAGAAGTTATCTATTTTAATTATTAATATTATTTAAGATACAGATCAGAGCAAACTATTTCTTAACTATTAAAGGACATCTTGTTTTGATGTTCTTCAGGGGGGATCAAGCATTAATTAGGGGGTCAGACAGACCCCCCAAAAAACACCCTGTAATTCGCAACCTGCCCGTAGGGAGATTTCGTTTACAGTGTACAACCAAAAAGACATCTGACAATTTTACATTTGGCATTTACATAAATCATTTAAAAACCTAAAGTATTATGTTACCCCTACTCTAAATAAATATCAAGTATACTGGAAATCAACTGCTACTAAGAACGGAGGAATTGAAAAATGTAATTGCTTGAGGGATAAATCATCTATTTCTTACACATCAGGGAACACAATATCGACCTGATGGTAACAATTCGAATGTGTATGATAAAGGACACCTCTCATCATTGACAGCCTTCATCATGACAGTCATTTCATGATAGCCTTATTTAATACTCTTTGTATACACTTTCAATACTCTTTAGCTTCATTCTCAACAACTTACTGGCAATAGTTGTATATGCTGTAATGTAAATGCTTGTCATTATTAATATAATACATTTTATATAGCGCATTTAAAAGTTAGTTCCTCAAAGCACTTAACATACAAATCAAGACAACATACAGAGCTCAGCATATGCGAGTGCAGCCCATTTTGAAAACGATTATTTTAGCACTTTCTTAGTGAATACGGGTAATATAGAAGGGTGTATTTAAACAAAACAGATTTATTAAACAGATATATTTATTAAAATAATATTTTAGTCACCAAACATATTTAGAAATGGAAAAATAATCAATTTAAATTCATGCAAAACATTGCAAAAAAAATTACAACCTACAAAGTTTTATTCAATATTTTTCTATAAACCATAATTTGGTTTAATTATGGTTTTCTATTGAACCACAATTGTTGGTTATTTTGTTAGATTAGCTCCAGCTTTGGCTTCAGTACTGACTAAACTAATGCATATGCTTCCTGTAGAAAATATTAATTTAAATGAGAGATTTGTGGGGGGTGTACTCATATTTGCTGAACCATATACATACAAGATACTACAATGATAAAACAGATAATAGAAAACAGATTCATTAAAAGCAATGCTAAATAAAACCCTTGAAGTAAAGATTTTTTAAATATTAAGAGACTTTGCATTCCTATAGTGTCAACTGGCAGTGAATTCCACAGTGTCTGAATATAACAAATAAAAGCCTGTCACTTCTGAATCGCAGGCGAGTTATTCAGGAATAGCTAGGAGACCTCACTGAGAGAACCGTTAACTTCTGGTAGGGGTGTAGGGTGTTAAATGATCAACAAGATATTGTGATGCAAGTTTATGCAAAGCTTTAAAAGTTAGCATTAGCATTTTAAATCTATGCAATACTTTACAGGCAGCCAGTTCAACTCCCCCAGTGTTGGGGTAATATGCTCTCCTGCCCTAATCCCAGTTAAATTTCATTCATTCATTCATTTATTCATTCATTCATTCATTCATTTTCCTTAGGCTTAATCCCTTATTTATCAGGGACTAAACCACAGCAGAAAGAACCACCAACTATTCCATCGTATGCTTTACACAGCAGATACCCTTCCAGCCGTAACCTAGTACTGGGAAACACCTATACACTCTCACATTCACACACGCACTCATACACTACGGCCAATTTTGTTCTCCCAATTCACCAATAGCACATGAGTTTGGACTGTAGGGGAAAATCGGAGCACCCGGAGGAAACCCATGTTAACAGGGAGAAAACATGCAAACTTCACACAGAAATGACAATGAACCCAGCTGGTGCTTGAACCAGCGACCTTCTTGAAGTAAGACGACACAGTGCTAACCACTGAGCTGCTATGCCATCCCAGTTTAAATTCTAGCTGCTGATTTGTGCAGATATTGCAATGGCTATACACACACAGACTTTTAATTTTTAGCCAGGCAGCCCAGGGGCTTCCGGTGAACTGTCTTTTCATTACAAAATTGTCACGTTTAAGATCTGATTTCTTTAAAAATCTGCCATCTTCACTGCCTGTTAGATATACGATATGAAATGGGTCTCAGACCGGACAAGAAGCACTGCATTAAATTCCATTTTCCCCTGCCATGTCTTTAAAATATGACAGTTTTGTTTTACTCCAGTATTTTCAATGGAGTTTCTGCGCTAGCCTGTTGCTACTGACAGCGCTAGCGATTGCAACAGTCTTTCATCTCATTTTACGGTTGAACAACTAAATGAATGCTTAAGTCTATTTAACTGAATGTATTGTAATTACATTACAACATCGACACCGTAAAAACAACCTTGTGAAACTGAAAATAGTCACATTAAGCTTTCACTGGAAGTTTTTCGTCGGCTTTAAAACTCTATCTGTACATAGAGCCCATTTGTTAAGAGATGATCTGGAGACACCAGCAAGGAGAGCATTGCATGAAGTGGTAATTAAACTTTCAGCAAATACCTGTCCTGTTTGAAAAGCTCAGAGGATAGGATCGTTTTACAAGATTTTTTTGTTTGTTTGTTTACTTTGGATGAATGTTGACAGCTTTAATTACTAGTGCCAGACAGAATCTGCTGACATTTTTTGTTGCTTCTGCACAGAGTTTTGTAAACAATCTGCAGATTTATGTAGAATGATTTTGGCAGTGTTGTCAATAAAAACCTTACAACAAACATTAAATTAAAAAAAAATAATGACTTTAAAATTAATTTAACTTTAAGGTCTACAATCCAAATCCAACTAGAGCCATTTGTTTGGTAAGCAAAGCAAGTCTCTTATATATTGTATCTACTAATAGAGTAAAAATATTACTTTACAAACTGTATTGTAAATAAATCATATAAACATTTGCATATTACTCAAATAAAATTACTTCATGCACAGTTTTCAATTGGGCCTAGACATTACATAATATGTAAACAAAATGTTTTAAAGGAAATAAACTACTGTCAAACATGTGTATGCAGAGACAGGGGTAAAACTATGAACAGGTGACAGTGTTGATAGCCCTGTGTTGAGCAGGGCTGAGAGACACCCATGATACCTTGAGACCGCTCGATAGCAGCCTGACCAGCTGCTCCCACAGGAGAGTCCTGAAGGTTTCCTGGGCCAGCATTAAGTGAAGAGAACAGGAGAGAGAACTGAGACAGTGCAGGCTAGCTGATATTACCCAGGGATGTTTTTCATCATGGATTGAGCCAAAAGTATACTTCTATTGTCCACGTTCCACAACAGTCCCAGCAATGCCTTTGTGATGCAAGTGTTTATACATATTTCTGTAAAATGTCCAATTTTTCCCCCTTATTTTATGCAGAGAGCGTGCAAGACAGTGTGAAACATGAGAAAAGGAGTATGCACTGGCCTTTAGAGTATAAATATATACATATATATATATATATATATATATATTTATATACATATATATATATATATATATATATATATATATATTACACACACACACACACACACACACACACACACACACACACACACACACACACACACACACACACACACACACACACACTATTTAGTTTAACTTAATATGAGTAAAACGCAATTTATTCCTGGTATTTCTTTAAGCCATTAACTAGTTTTGTAATTTAGAAATGGGTTTCTTACGATTATCTATACATGCTGCTTAATAGTGTCACGTTTTTCAGGATATCTTTAGCGAATCACTTAAGTGAAAATTCATCATTTTTTAATTAACTTTTAAATAACAAATATTATTTAAGATTATTTTTATTTTTTTATTTTATTTTTATATTATTAAAATATTAGATTTTTTAAAATATTTAATTTTAAAATACATTTATGCGACATTAATTAAACGCAATTTCATGCAATATTTATCAAAAGTCCACCTAATAAGGGGTCTAATTTATGAAAGATCTTTTAATGCTTAATTTGACAATTCACCTAATAACACAGCAATAACACAGCAGTTCCTTTAGATCAGAGGTTCCCAAACTTTTTAGCCCACCACCCCCAAAATAACAATGCCAGTGATTCACAACCATAAGGTGGTTATAAATACGTCTAATCTTGTGCTGCGCCCCAGATTGCATACTATCCATCCTAAATAGTGCATGAAAATAAAATTAATATGTCCCAAATTATAGTATGTTGAAAAAAGTAGGCCAAAGTTTTCCGGATGGTTTACTATTTCTGGTAAAAACTATAAGTGTAGAAGCGTCCATACTCCAACCGCCGCTAATATTGCCCACAATACATTGCAGGTTGGACACGAATTTGATTAGAACTATAAATGCAGGTGAAAAGTGTAAATAAATTACAAACATGGACGCGCGAGACAAAGCTTCAAGTAAAGAGGCTTGGGTATAGATGTTAATATGTTTGTCAATTAATATATCAAGCCCGCTAGAAAATATTTAAATTGTGTTTTCTGTGTTATATTTCATCTGCAACAACAATACTGACCTTATAAAAAGACGTGTTTAGACATTAACGTCTAAATGTATAATAATCCAAAGACCTGAGGAGATTTCCCTGCATGAAAGACTCGTGAATGAGAGATTAACCAGGAATTAAATACGGCAGAAATGTGGATTACGTGTGGCTGATTGACAGGGCCCATAAATGAGCAACACAACGATCTGTTAACGAGGAAGTAGTATGTCCCAAAGCTTGCATACTCTTCTGTTACACACTCAAAAGTGTATATTTTTCCTTCACAAAAAAAAATTCGTACTTTTAGGGCATAGTATAAGAATGCAAATTGGGATGCAGCATTGGTGTAATTTTTATTTGATTATTTTGATATAATATGTATATATGTGTGTGTGTGTATATATATATATATATATATATATATATATATATATATATATTATTATTATTTTTTTTTTCCAATGCTTTAATGTTATGTTTAATCTGGTAACATAAAATCAATCTGCTGCATCTGACATTATTGCTGTAATCTCCCCAATGTAAGGTAATGTAATCTCCCCAGGGGTCACAATCGAAAGGTTGATGGCGTTTTATTTACATGTTGTTGTTTTTATGTAACTATTAGCTACTATTTTTATCTTCTGAAGGTTATGGATGAAATATGTTAATTCTAATAGTTTAATTAAATTATTATGATTTTTTGAAAATCACAGTGCAATCGCCCTGCATTATCCCATGACCCCTACTTTGGGAACCACTGCTTTAGATAACACTTGGGATAACGAAATTGCACACTAAACCTTAAGGAAATCAGGCGAATAAACTTTAATCACTACATAAGAGCTGGTGCAGCAGACTTAGCCAATACTGCCCACTTGTGGACAGGTTTGGTTATCATGCACAGAAAGAATGAAAAACAAAACAACACACAAATAGGATTAAATCATAAAACTACACTACAAGGCAAAATATGAATCAATGGTGTCATGGAAAGCGATATGTATGATAAATGGTCACAATTTCAAGCACACACAATCAAAAAACACAGTCTATAGTGAATACCTGGTCCTCTATCCATGGGCACAGGGCCTCCTGGAGGAATCCCAATCTGAGGCTGCATCCCACCTGTAGAGATGATAAGCAGATGTTAACTGCTATTGATATGAACTCAAACACACATAAAAAAAAGCAATGAAATGATGCAGGAAAAACAGAAAAGCTCACCAGCTGGTCCCATGGGGCCCTGTCCTGGCATTGGTCCGGGGACTCCACCACCCATCTGTGGAGGCTGCATCATTTGAGGGGCTCCGTTCACATGCAAACCTGGCTGAGAGTCACAGGATCAACAGAAGAGGATTACTCAATCATACAGTCAGTGAGAGAAACAGATCAACTCAATGAACCCAAATGATGCTCGAGCAAATATCAAACACAAGCTCTTTTTGTGAGGAAAAAACTACAGTGCATCTTTACAAATGAGGAACATAATGATTATACTGATGCAATAAATGGTGATAACTATGAAGTCATTATGAAAACAAGACATTAATTGTATTACAATGAAAAACAAACTGACAGCAGTGAAATTAGGCTAAGCAAATAACAAATTTCATGCTATTTTGATATCTGTAATCAGTAAAAGTAAATGAAGTACATCACTGTCATTCTGCATATCATTTTTATGGTTATATATAGTTGTCAACATGTTAAATGGACCACAACCTTTAAAGGGCCCCTATTTAAGATTTAATACAAGTCTTTTGTGTCTTCAGAATGTGTCTGTGAATCTCAGCTCAAAATACCTGTCAGATTATTTATTATACCTTGTGTATATTGGAAGTTTGAGCTGTTTTGACATTGTAGCTGCTTTTGTTGCCTGTGCCTTTAATGAACATGAGCTGGTTTTCCCCGCCCACCGTTCCCACAAACATGTCAGAGTCAAAGAGATCGCTCACTATTGCTTTGATGGGTGTAGCTTCTAGTGCTGCGTCTTACACATAAGCAGCACAGTGACAGACAAGAATGAGGCAGATCTCCCTTACTACAGTAAGAACTTTACCAATGATTATTTGATATATTTGCTGTGGAGTTAAATCAAGCCTTTCTACAAGTCACACACAATGCCGTTATAAAGCGCACGCGCTCACGTTCACGCACAGATTTACACTGTTTTTGCAAAAACAATTGTGACGGGATACACATTAATATCAACTGCTGTGCGTATTACAAAGCGATTTTTTTAAACTTTATTACAAACATGCACTGTTTTAAAAACGTTTTAAACTCATTCTTGAGGTGCTGATGATCACAGAGAGCTGAACAGATCTTTACACAAGGTTGCTTTGCACACGTCTTGGCTTGTGGATATGAATATACGCATTATTATAGAGACATGTTAAGACGTGGCTGTCAATCAATTAGGTGGGCGGTGAGATCGCACTCCTACATCATGTTGTGGTGGGCCTCAAAAAGAGATGGATGTGAATCCTATTTTTAACGACAGAAAATTAAAAATAATAATAAAAAGAGACTTATTGTGTTTCTATCACACCAATATGACTGTGGTGGACACACTAAACCTACACACAGGTCTGTCCAAACAGCTTACAAAAGATGAGAGAGAGAGTTTTAATTGTATTGCCATTTCAGCTTCTATGGCTTCTATGTCATGGCAGAAAAAAACAGATCAAGTTTACCACATTTTAAAACACAGATTTTCTATAATTATAAAAATATTCTAACAATTTAAAAGTTATAAATAGCAATAAATAATATACAAGGTAAAATACATAAACAATAATAATAATAATAATAATAATAATAATAATAATAATAATAATAATAATAATAACAATAATAATAACAAGATAAAATCCAAACAGTTTTTTAAGGTTTAATTTTGATTTAAAAAAATTGTACAATTTTAGATGGATTCACATTTAAAAATATTTCATTTAAAGTCTCTCCAGATAAAAATTGTTGTCTGTTAACATTAAAAATGGGGCATTCCACAAGAATATGTTTAACAGTTTGGTTTCTGTTGCAATATAGACATTTTGGGGGTTCTTCTCTCTTGAGTAAATATTCATGGATGTTTCTCGTGTGTCCAATGCAACACCTTGTATAAACAATCTCATCATATCTTGACCTAAAAATATATTAGATTTTCCTCCTATTTCTGGCTGAATTTCAAAAAGTTTATTATCTGGACACTGATCCCGTTCTGTTTTCCATTTGTTGAGAATATAGCCGTTTATTAGTGGCATTAGATCCGAAGGTGTGATTTTACACTCCTTCAGCTTCCCTTACGGCTGTTTTGGCGGCTTTGTCCTTACAAAAGATGATTTCTTTTATAGGTGCCCTTTAAATCAAAGTTGTCCTAAAACTATTCAATAACACCCATTCTGGTCTTAAGATTATTTTGAAAAACTTTGTGTTGCAGTAATTAAATGTTGACTTCTATGTGCGTGTGTGTTCATTAAAAACCACAAAGCATACACAAAAAGTACATAAAAAGTACATATGGTGCGTTTTAAAAGTTTAAAATGATAAAACTAACTTTTACTTTTAACTCAGCAAAGCATAAAGAGGTAATAGTAAAGACATGTTTTCAATAAATATGCAAAATATACAACAATATATGCGGGAATCAGTGGTCTATTCTAAAACGGCACAATTCTTGATTATAAACTGGACTTTTTCATAAAAATATGACAAAAATATTAGTAAGGCATCAAATCAGAATACTTCAAAGATTTTTGACACTGAAAACTGAAATTCATCCTTGACCTCACAAGAGTACATTACATTTTAAAGTCAGGTTACATTTAAGGTATGTAAGAGACTTTTACTTTCGAAAAGTAGCACATCAATACAAGGACTGTGATCCTGACACTAGTTTTTTTTTTTGATGGAAAGTGATGGATGTGTTTAGAAAGCGATAAGTGCAATACTGACCATGGGCTGAGGCTGAGACACAGGAACATTGGGCTGAGGGAGAGGCTGGTTTGGTGCCGGCACAGCTCCAGGTTGAGGACTTGGGTTTATTGGTGGAACCACAGCCGGACGGTGGAGCATTTTCTAGAAGATTTTTTATGAAATCGTGATCAAAAATGAACAAGTTCAAATCCCATTTATCACATTTTGCATTGAAGCAATAGTTGATGAGAGATGAGCATGATGCAAAACTAAAGCAGAAGAGCTTTTATTATGCCATTGACTTTTTCTGTCAGCAAAATATAAATAACAATGTAGTTGGTTTCGGATATTTTAACAACAAAACCTTTTTTTACAAATTGGGCCTAGTGTAAAGCAAGTGCAAATACAGCCTAAGATGTTTACATTTTTCTTAATCCCTAATATTGTTCTACATATTTCAATCCTTTTTCACCTTTTAAAAATCTTACCAGAGCAATTTCAGGGTCCACGATCCTCATGACCACCTGAGCCTGCAGCAGGGCATAAGCCAGCTGAGGGTTCTGGAGGAGCATGTTCCTGGCCTCCTGAGGACTGTTCTGCACACATAGCTGTACAACCAACCAAAAATAGGATGATTGAAACAAACTGCAGTTTTAACATAGATAAGGCTTTATATAAGCAACTGAATTTAAATACAAACCTATGCACAAATAACAAAGTAATTATCACATTAAAACAAAATAAAAATCTACCCCCATCTACTCACCCTTATATAGCTTTAGTTTTTCTTTAAACCCAAATTGAGATATAGTATCGTTTCCAGAATAAATCATAAGTTGTTTATCGTCTGAAATGTATTGTGACACATCACAACGTGACTTTGATAATGCAATTAACATCAGGGCAAAACATGCATCAAGCACACACAGGTATTAATTGGTGCCAATAAAAGAGACATGAGCACATTGATAATGTAAGGTTCTATGTTAAAAAGGATAAGTTTTATAATGCTAATAATAAATGTTTGGTAACACTTTATTTTATGGTGTTCGTTTTAAACACATTACTGTAGTAATTACAATTATGCATAATTACATGCTGTTTTCTTATCCCGCAGCAATCAACTACACAATTCTGACCTAGTGTGCTTTCTAATTTGCTGTGAATTATCAAACCTGCAAGACTTCACTCCCTTCACTGAAATTCCACTGACATTTAATTTTTCAAAACCTTCATAAAAGCATTGTAGAGCTACTCCAAGTTAATCAAATAGTCTAATCCATGTCATCTTAAAAGGCAACAGACACATCCTCATGATACAATGTCTTCATGCACTTTCTGAAGCATCAAAGTTATGTGGAAAGATTTCCAACAGAGCCAGAAATCCTTGAGTTGATTAAATATCGTTAACACTTCAGAATAAGCTCGCATTAGTATCATTATTAAATGCACAAATATTACTTAATCTTTGTTAGTTAACTAAACATATACTAATGTGTCAGTTAATGCATTAGCTAACATGAACTAATGTTGAACAATCAGTGAGTTCATTTAGCCTTACATAATCTTTGTTAATATTAATTTATTCATATTCTAATGCATCACTTTCACATTAACCAAACAAACTGAGCTCTGACCTCAAACGAACCATGGTCTGCATCAAAAGTGAGCCCCTTGATCTGAAATATAACTCTATCCTCACCTTCATCTGCTTCATGAGCTCAAACATCTGCTCTGGAGGCAGGCTGGCCACTGCTCTGCTGATGGACTCTGGGGCTTCTTCTGGCATACATCCATCTCCATAAGGGGACTCTATGATTGGAGCTCCAGTGCCCAAACCTGTGGAAACAAGCATGTAGTTGAAGCATTTTCAGGGGTTTTATTGACTTATTAAAAAAATAATAGAAAAAAGGAGGCTGTATAGTGCAGGGCTCAACAATAGCCGCATTTCCACTATCGTGCCTAAAGCGAGCATGCCAGGGCCAGTCACGTTTTCACTGTTACTTTCGGGGCCTGATCAGGCAAAAGCGGGGCTTTCACGGGGCCAGCAGCCTTTTTTGGCCTGCCGAAAACCTTGGGCAAAAGAGAGCCGACTGGTGCTTTGGGACGGAGTGAAAGTAGAGGCGGAGTCTGGAAAGATGGCATGCTGCCTTTACACTCGGTTTCCAAAAAATTTAATAAATAAGGGAAAAAACATATAGCGGCTCAGTTTAAGATAGGCTATTTTATAAAACACCGTAAAGGCTAGATGTCTTACTTTTTAAAATTAAGATCGCCCTTAAGTTTCCTTTTTAAAGGGCCATGAAACCCTTCCGTTTCAGCAGGGTGTTTTCACACCTCTACTTTGGAAAAAGTCTGAAAAGTGGGCGTGTCCAGCTCTGTTTAGGGGGGAGTGTCGGAGGAACTAAAGTGGGATGGTGTGGGAGTGTCTATTTGGGCACGCTGAGTTTCAGAGTTAAAACACACACACACACACACACACACACACACACACACACACACACACACACACACACACACACACACGGGAGAAAGTGACCGTGTTTACATGGACATCTGTAGTCGAATTATTTACCAAATTATTAAATGGTGGACTTTAACTGCAGTTTGGCTCTTTCATTCAAAGAATTCATTAATGTCCCTCGCGACAAACGAGATATTTGATTCGAGGATCTGCTCTAAGCGTGTATTTTTCATGAAATGTTTGATACCGCGCGGCGAATGAGAGAAAAAAAAACCTCTGCATTACCCGGAAACTCTCGGCACTCGGCAGGTAGCGTCAGAAAGCGTCGGAATATGTTATTCCGGTCACAAAATGCGGTAAAAATCCTACACAACATGTTTACACTCAGTGCAATAGTTTGTTCAATACGAACAAACTGAATGAACAAAGAGCACTGGTCGCTCACTTACCAAATCTGTAGAGACAGGACAATCACCAGCAACTAGAGCCGCGTCTTTATTAAGAGAAGACTACAAGTGAATCCGGATCTCAGCGTTTGCAGATGAGAACAGCTCTCAGGTAAACAATGTACCTCCTTAGACACGCAAGTTATTGTTGTCGAGCGTCGCGTACACTGTTAATCCACACTTGAGTTTGAGCTCTCACAGAGAGAAAATTAAAACAAAACTAAACTGCAGCAAACTATAATAGCAACACTTCACGCTTGTTTTGCCAACACAACGTGGCGTCTCTGTCGTCTAAACACGGTGGCAGTAATGAATATTAATGAAGTTGCACAATAGAGCGCGATGATTTGTTTGAACCAAGCCTTACTCATGCATTAATGCATCACACTGTAAGACGTAATAAGACACAATCTGGCACAGACGTCCAGTCTGCACGCTGGAATACAGGCTATTATGTCATGACCGTGACGCAGCTTCAAAAATTCGTTTCAAACCGGAAGTACGAATTTGCTTGAAATAACGCAAAAACAACCAATTTACACTTTTTAGTGAAATATAGGTGTCCTAATAGCTGTGTTTTTAGCAGTGTGGGACACATATACGACTGTCAACAGCTCAAAAAATGTGTTTTGGTGTTTCGTGTCCCTTTAAATGTAAAGGTGTTGCATAAAATAATAATGTAGTTTTAATCTAATAAGTGATATTTCTTTGCTGCGTTCTTCTTGAGGTTTCATTAACGCATAATAACCTTCACACAGTTTTCTTTACTTAAGAGAACCCAACAATATGCAAGATCCTTAAATTATGCTCTTAAATAAAGGGGAATTACCAAGGGAAAGTGTCATATAGCCTAGGGAAAAATGTATATGTTTTAGGTCTCCCCGGAGCATTTGGGATGTTGATTGTCTGATGGCATCTACTGAAAGGAGGATGTTATAAAATTTATTTTATACTGAGTTATTAACGGAGGATTTCTATGGTTTTATATTATGGATGGGGAGCTGGGTCATCCCTCCATTAGTGGCGAGACCACTCGACGTACAATGCCAACAGTTGGTCGGTGAGTAAACAAATATAATGAATGGAAACACATGCCTGTGCGTATAAACATATAATGTAACGCTGTACAGTAACGTGTCATTTGTTTGTTTTAGTTGTCTTCATTTTTATCGTCTCATGATGATGCGATGGTGTGCTTTATCTGCCTGCCTGATTCCCACTCAACTGGGCGGGTTTTGTGATGTTTGATTCGGGGAGGCGTTCTGGGGGTGGGGTTTGCATGCTGCAATGCAAGCCACTAGACAGACAGTGGAAACCTGACTTGATTTCGGCATCACAGCTTAAGCTCCCGGGTGATTGGCATGACCCAGCCCATGGCTTGCATTGGCCTGACAAATGCAGCTAATGAGGATTACACTGTTGTTTTACATTTGATTCGATTTCTGACTCTACCTGGATACTGTTTGTCGCCACAAGAAAACCATAATTTAGAACTTTTTTACGGTGAAACTGCATTTCTATCGAAATTTTTAGTTTTTAAATTTTTTAAAAACTAAATATTGCAGTTTTCATTTATTTCCAATACCGGGCAGCCCTAAAACAAACCTTTAGCACTTCACTTACTTTTGAGCTCCTCTTTGTTCTTCTCACTGGCAGCGTTGTCAACACGAAGGGCTCTGCCGCTGAACTCTCGCCCGTTGAGGTTTCGCATGGCACTAAGTGCCGTCTCCTGATCCTGGTACTCACAAAAGCCATACCCCTTCGGTTTCCCTGTTTCTCTGTCATACACCAGCCTGCAAGAGGTTTTAGTTCTCGATCAGCACAAGGTTTCTTCTAAATGACCACAGCATGTTGTTTCAAGCATTTGTGTGCATACCTAAAACTGACGACAAGTCCAACCTCTGAGAAGATGTCTTTCAGCTGCTCCTCTGTGGCCTCATATGGGATGTTTCCCACTGTTATAAAAAAAATTATATCATACAATCAATATGTATATACACACAGAGCAGGATATAATAAACCACAATGCACACAGGCTTCACCAAGTTACATTTAAGACTTTAAGACATTTTTAAGACCATTATGAATGACATTTTAGACTCATAAAAGGCTAAATGCGTTTGAAAGGTGTTGAAAAAAGGTATTTTTCAAACTGTACTGATGGAAGAGATTTTTGTTTGACCTATCAAAAAATATATATATATTATTATTTAGCACATTTAGAAATACAAAATTAAGAGTAACATTTTTTATATATATTAGATATTTCTAAGCAAAATAATTTCAAATATTGTGTAAAAACAGCAAGCTCTACTTGTATCCATACACTTTTTTTTCTAACATAAACTATCTAAAAAACAATATATATCTAAAAAAAAATGTTTTAAAAACTGTAATAAACTAAATCAATGTACAACAATCTGACCCGGTCGGTGTCCTCAGCAGTAAATACATAGAGCACTTTTAAACAAATGTTATTGTAAGGAAAATAATTAAACCATTATGATAAAAAGAGTTACAAATTACCTTTTTAAATAAAAAGTTTAACGTTTTATTGAGACGGATTGTTGGTGATTGTATGCGTTTTGGCCAGATTGGGTAGCTATACATACACAAAAGAAAAATTAAGACTTGTTTTAAAAAGATTTAAGACCTACAACACAATATTTCAGTAAATTTAAGACTTTTTAAGGACTAACATTTTTATTTTGGGATTTAAAACCCTGCTAAAACCCTGTTAATGCTGCAGCATCTATTTTATAAGACTCACGGTGTTTATTCAGTCTAATGTGAAGAAATCTTTTAAAATGCACTTTTAGTTTTTTCAAATTGTACTTCATTCATTAATGTCTAAAGATTTTAATTACAATACACATTTTTAATTACACTAAAAATTAGTTTTTTCACCCCTGTGCGCTGAGACATACATTTCCACTTCAACAGCACCAAACTTTCTGTCTGAATCAACAATACATTTTATTCTACCAATATATATATATATATATATATATATATATATATATATATATATATATATATATATATATATATATATTGGTAGGAGGCTGCAGGCCGAGTGCCTTAGTGCCCACACCAGTGCCGATATACAGCCATATCGCACTGCTACTCATGTGATATTGCGTTTATACAACAGTTTGATGGCATAATTGAGTTTTTTTTTTTTATTAATATGTTTTTCTCTGGATGAGCATTTTCTGTATTATTGAGTGATAAAGAGAGATACACCAACTCTCCTCTTTTTAAAAACTTTGACTCAATTTACAATTAAATTTGACAATTTATTTGATAAAAAATGTGTTTAATGTTTTTGAACCCAGCTACATAAATTTTTGGATATTTGTGCTAGAATGGTATGCGAATTAGAGCATGCTAAATTAACGTAATAAAATAAAACGCATTATTTGCATGTTTAAAGTTACATATTAAACTTGTTATTTAGATATTTGATATTTGATATTTTTTTCGCAATTGTTAATGTAATCAATACACTGAGGATGTGTGGTAATCATTTTTACCCTATTCTGAAGCAGAGTCTTGCATTAACTTATGATCTGCTACTTTTTAATCACTTTTTCATCAATGCATCCGTATAAACGTGTCAAACTTGATTTCAGCGTTATTTATATACATCTAAATCACAAATAATAATAATATTACAAACAATAATTTAGATATCTATCCATCATGTGTTATGGTACATACTCTTAGACCACTTTTAGTAGTCACTACCTGTGGGTTAGTGAGGTTTAGCTTACCGGCTAATGAATCAGAATGGCACACACAAGAAACAAACTGAAGCGATCTCTTCACACTTACCGAAAACTGACCGTAACGAGCGGTCAACGGCAGGGTCTCTGGCAGCAGCAGCTGCAGCCGCAGCAACTGCTAAATTCGCCATATTTTAAACGATAAATTCACAGCAAACACGACTGATGCATCAACACAGACCGACGAGAAGCCAGAGACCATTCGCTGCAAATAAAAATGGCGCTAGACGACCAGTCCATAGACTTTCAAAATAAAAGTTCGTAAAAAGCTGTTTCGTAGAACATGTGAGTTTTTGTTGCACAGCAAAATTATATACATCATACAAATTAAAAAAGAAGAAAAGAATAACATGCATATTTAAAATTTAAATGCATACGAGGGCTGAAGCATTATTTTTTAGGGATAAGAGTAGAAACTAATACAGAGTCTCATAAGTAAAAATTGTTAACAAACGGTAAATAACTGATAACTCAAACAAAAGAAGCCATTAAAATCAACAAAAAACCAATAATATGTAAATTCTATGACAAGTAATAAATATTTTATTATATAATTAATAACAATAAAACACTTTATGACATTTTATTCATACACAGTGTTATTATCATTACTTAATGGCATCTAGCCAACATTAGCATTAATTTAATTAATTGATGCAGTTTTTCTTACAATAATGCATGAATGGAAATGAAACTTGGAATTTTTCATAACGTTTTAAATGTTTTATTTTCTACATTTGTCTGGAAATGAAGTAAAATAACTTGTTTAAAGCATGTCATCATGCTAAATTCAGGCAAAATAACATGTTAATAAAAACAAAATACATTATGTAACATTATCTTTTTTTAATACTATTTTGTTTTGTGCAGGCATCATTGCTTAAAATAAGATATTTTATTAAGATAACATATGTGAGTATGCCTAGACATATTTAAAGAGTGCAAAGCAATCAAACAAATGGGATATAATAGCCTGAGTAGCAAAGAATTCTGGCCCAGATTTGGCATGAAGCTGACACAGCAGGCATTCATCCGGCATTGGCATAGAGCATGTGGGCCAAACATGGCCCTGGTTTGACAGAGGTGGCACCATCTTTAGGGCGGCACACAATACTTGGGCCAGATGAAAAAAATTAGTATTTGGTCCAGATGTTAATAATTTATATGTGGGCTGTGCATGTTTGGCCTATCTTGACCCACATTAACAATACATTTCTATTATTTTCAAATAAAGAAAAAAAATCTACCGATCAGGTCGCTTTGAGAAAAGCATGCCCAAAGCACACCTATGATTCATGGGTTTATCAAATTCATTGCAGTCGTGACACACCAACATAGCTGGCCCAGTTCAATCTCAGTTATGGGTTATTAACTTGGCTGGACCCAAAGATATGATCCATTTGGCCCTTGTCTGGATGCCAGACTTTATCCAGTCATGTTCTGTAATTCACTGCAGCATAAGGGCCAAGCACAAGCTTATTGTGTGGGCCAGATTTGGGCCAGAGATGTTTTGCTATGTGTGACACTGCTGACAATAGTTTTTACAACAAATTTAAAAACCTTGTCTTAGTGAGCTCAGTAGTGCGATAAAAAAAGGTTGGGGGGCGGGGGTGGTTGGGTGGGATGGTGTCGGACGAAAATAAAGAGGTGGGGGGGTGGGAAACGGGTGTCTCGAATGAAAATGAAGAACTTGGGGGTTTGATTGGGGCTGTCATGGTGGACTTCTAATAATATCTCTGTAATATCCTAATATCTCTATAATACCCCCACCCTCATGTGGGTTTTCTTCAAGTGCTCTGGTTTCTCCCACAAAACAAAGACATGCAGCATAAGTGAACTGAATAAACTAATTTGGCTGTAGTATGAGTGTGTGTATAAATGCATACTATTTCCCAGGTATTGGGTTGCAGCTGGAAGGTAATCCGCTGCGTAAAAAATATGCTGGAATAGTTGGCGGTTCATTCCACTGTGGCGACCCCTGGTAAATAAAGGGACTAAGCCGAAGGGAAATTAATGAATTCATGAGTTGGCGGTTCATTCTGCTGTGGCAACATCTGATAAATAGAAGGCTAAGCTAAAAGAAGATGAATGAATGAATAAATTAACCTTGCCAAAAGAAAATCTTTATTTTGTTTTGTTGTTTTTTTTTGCTTAAAGGGCACCTATTATGCAAAAATCACTTATATAAATGATTTTAAACACAGTTGTGTGGCAACAGTGAACACAGTCAGTATCTAATGGTAAAACTGTAATTAATTCTATTTTTATAAGCACACTATAAAAACAGTCTGCAGAAACACTTTGATTCACATTCTCCCTTTGTATGTGTCATTGGAAAGGGAAAGCCCCGCCCATAAGTGATCTCTTCCTCATTAGCATAGACAGCCCTAAATTAGAAGCAACCTCTATGCTGCCGCTATGCTGATGCACATGTGTTTGTAGCTCCACCCTCTTTTAAAAATCTAATTTGAATTTAAAGCGACAGTCGCCAAAATGGAACAATTAGGATCAAATCCTAAAACGGGTAGTTTCAATGAGTTATCAAAAATTATTTGCAGGGTATAATTAGCTGAAACTTCACATAAACACTATTGGGACATCATAGATTTATTTTATATCTTGTGAAAATAGGCATAATAGGTCCCCTTTAAAAGCACTGGGATTAAATACTGCCACTTTAATTGGTTTCATTTTTTTTTTCTTTTTGTTTTTAAGGTTATGAGAGTAAATAAGTTTGTACTTAGGTCTAATAAAGGAACTTAAAACGAAATAAAATCTAAAAAGTTCCACATTTTATGAGAAAGTAGGCTACTATTTTATTTTGTCTTCTGATATTAGGCTGTATGAGTAACCACTGCTGGTTATGTATGTGACATTCACCTTTTAAATCCGCATGGATTCAAAACAGATTTGTTTTTTATTATTATTTTGAATATGTTAGCCCTAAGATGATCTATAAACTAGTATGCTTCAAAACAATGCTAAACATTTGCAATTCAAACATATATCCAATAAAAACTTCAAAAAGTCTTTAAATTCCACTAATATGGATCAAAGGTTTTGATGACATCACTTTGCACATCAGCTTCTCATCAAATTTTCTGTCCAATCAAATGCTCTCTAGAATCTGAAATGCCCCGCCCCCCTACGCTATAAATAGAGCCGTAGCTGAGGCTGAAATCAGTTACATGCTCATACATTAGCATTTATATACAATGAATGACACGTAAGTTTGTTAAATCTATACACAATATTCTGTAGGCTAACATACTCACAAAAAAGGAAAAATAATAAAAGTAAGTTTGCAACGTGATTTTGTTCTGAATTATTAATTACGATTTATAAATTATAAAAAGGGGCGGCATGGTGGCTCAGTGTTTAACACTGCCACCTCACAGCAAGAAGGTCGCTTGTTTGAGTATAGGCTGGACCAGTTGGCATTTTTTGTGTGGAGTTTGCATGTTCTTCCGGTGTCGGCCTGGGTTTCCCCCGGGTGCTCCGGTTTCCCACATAGTGCAAAGACGTGCACTATAGGTGAATTGAATGAACTAAATTGGCCGTAGTGAATGATTGTGTGTGAATGTGAGTGTGTATGGGTGTTTCCCAGTACTTGGTTGCGGCTGGAAGGGCATTTGCTGTGTAAAACATATGTTGGCGGTTCATTCCGCTGTGGCGACCCCTTATAAATAAGGGACTAAGCTGATGTAAAATGAATGAATGAAAATTATAAATCCATGTCCATTGTGGTTTTGTTTGTTATTTACTACTGTAAATCATGTAATATGTCTCTTCAGAACCTTGGACAGCTCCAACAATGACATTAATCACATAGCAATAACATAACAAGCTATAATTTACAGTCATTCAGTACATCTGTTAAGCGGGGACAACCTTATCTGCTCTCTCAATTATAAAGCACGAATGAATGAATGAAAATTGTCAAGAGGTCTGGAATAAATACTCATTGGGCAAAAATCCTTGAAACTCTTTTGTTAGATTTTGATTTGTATGCATATTGTCATGAAAAATATTGAAAGGTTTATATGTATACTGTGAGCGAATGCATATTTCAGCATAGAAGGATGCTACTGAGCTCTTGAAACACCACAGATTCATTTCTGCTCCTTCATTCATTCATTCATTTTCTTTTCAGCTTAGTCCCTTTATTAACCCAGGGTCGCCACAGCAGAATGAACCACCAACTTATCCAGCATATGTTTTATGCAACGGATGCCTTTCCAGCTGCAACCCATCAATGGGAAACATACATACAATACGGACAATTTAGTCTACCCATTTCACCTATACCACATGTCTTTGGACTGTGGGGGAAACTGGAGCACCAGGAGCAAAACCCCGCAAACACGGGGAAAACATGTAAACTCCAGAACGCCAGAACGCCAGAAACTCAAACACAGAAACGCCAACTGACCCAGCAAAGGCTCGGACCAGCGACCTTTTTGCTGTGAGGCGAATGTGCTACACACTGCGCCACTATGCAGCCCTCATTTCCGTTCAAGTTTTGTAAAAATATTTGTACCCATCACTGGAGATGTTTGCGTCTATTAAACGTTGGACTTTTTCAGGCTGAATATATTTTAGTGTTTTATGGTTTTCTCAGTACAATAATAAAATGAATAAACGCCAACAATTTAGTCTGTTAAACATTTAAATACAGGTTTGTCAAATGATTTTAACCAAAATATATTACACAGTACTAGGCATCTTATATACAGTAATCCATGTTTGTTCTTCGCTTGTTAATCAAATCTATGGTCTCACAACTTTTAAACAGTTACTGTAATTTAATACTTACAGTTGAAACCAGAAGTTTACATCCACACTAAAAAAAAGGAACATAACCATATTTAAAAAAATGTCTGATGGTAAATCATACTAATCATTTACTATTTTAGATCCGTTAGAATTACCTAAATGATTTACATTTGCTAAATGCCAGAATAATGAAAGAATTTTGTTTTTTTGAGAATTTTTCATTAATGTCTAGACAGTCAAAAGATTATATACATTTCCTTGGTATTTTTTAGCTTTGCTTTTAACTTTGGTCAAATGTTTTGGGTATCCTTCCACAAGCTTCTTACAATAGTTTGAAGGAATTTTGACCCATTCCTCCTGACAGAATTGGTGTAGCTGAGTCAGATTTGTTGGCTGTCTTGTTGCACAAGCTTTTTCAACTCTGCCCATAAAAAATTTCTATAGG